GGGCGCTGTGGGCGAGTCGCACGCGGCGGGGTCGCGACCCCAACCATGCACAGAGGTGCAGTTGGTCAACAGCAACATTCTCTGAAATTTGGAACGAGTTCTGAAAACAGATGGCGCCACTGCAGCGTCTGTAAGGTGCTGGAGGTGGGGGAGTCCCTATACGCGACCAAATGGTTTATCGCGTTGCGCGGTGGGTAAACGTTGTCCGATTGCGCTCAAACTTTGGATTTGTCTACAGGGGACCTGGATGCACTAAAAAATTTACTTACCCGGAAAATCTATTTTTTTTTTGAAACAGCCTACCGTAGCGTCGAAACCCGACGTCGTAGAGCCTCGTGCGACACGCCATTCGAAAGAGCGCTCTATTTTCTGCACGGTTAACTTAACGGGTAGAATTTTTGACCAGCCGGTCCCACCAACTCAACAAGTCCCAAAAACAGCCATTTTGAGGGTTTCCGACCCTTAAATAATCCGGAGTTCGAGTCGGATCTCGCTCCCATGGTGTTTCGGCAGTCCGTATAATGGAAGGAACCCAGAAATAACCTACAATAACACAGTGGTATTATTAATTTGACAGAAACGACGGCGCACATAACGGTGCACAAGCTGTTTGAAATAGTATTGACCTGAAATAAAATTTTAATTCTGCACTCTTAAAAGCCTACGAAGCATTTGCTTCATAACTACAAAGAAAATGAACGCATTGTAGAATTGCTTCGTATTATGAAGAAATGCTTCGTATTACGAAGGATTTTGCTTCGTAATACGAAGCATTTCTTCGTAGATTTTATAATGCTTTCATTTTCTTCGTATTACAAAGCGGTTCTTCGTAGAGTTTTTTCTGTGTGTAACTACTACGGTTTCACAAATGTTCGCTACTTACCTCAGTTTGTCCCCATTCATAATGCTTCACTGAAAACGTAATGGTCGGACACATGGCCAAATTATGGCATGACAAAAAGTCACGCCAAAAACTGGCGTGACACGAAATTCACGCAGATAAACGGCGTGACATGTGAGTCACGCCCTTATTTGGCGTGACTGACAACGCGTTTTATGAGAGAAGTCATGCCAAAATTCGGCATGACAAGAAATTCGCACCAAAAATTGGCGTGAATATTTGAGTCACGCCGATTTTGGGCGTGACTTTTCTGTCACGCCGTCTTTTGACGTGACACTTTATTTATTCACGCCCCTGCAGCGGCACGAAGTCACGCCGGTAGATTTTCAGTGTTCGATGGGTCCTATGAACAAAGACTGATGTCTTTTGGGTCGCTCAAACAAAGACCGATCTCCTTCGGATCGCTCGAACAAAGACCGATCTCCATTTCGGCCGTTTCTGCATTCGCCGCTTCTTTATATTGTAGTTCTCGCAACAGACATCCAACTCAAACAATAGTTTGAAGGTTTTGTTCCTAACATATTAGAGAATGATTATCTTAAACTCCTTTGTGTAGAATCCAAACGTAGAGATTGTTTTGGGACTTCAAAATGAACGCGTTGACAGGTTAGGAAATGGAGATCGGTCTTTGTTCGAGCGACCCAAAGGAGATCGGACTTGGTTCGAGCGACCCAAAGGACATCGGTCTTTGTTCATAGGGCCCATCGTGTTGGTAGCACCTGGACAGGAGTCCACTGCCGGGTGCCGCACGTCACGTAGGGTGCCATGTTTGGACCCGCCGCTCTCAAAATCGTAGGAATGGACACCCCGTGTATCATTGTGCGCGTTAGCGACGTCGATTAGAGTGACTTCCGGTTGCCTGAGGTCACTTCCGGTACCACGACTGGTCTCGCCGACCTCGAAAACATATATATAGACACCTCGCATGGCTCTGTTTTCGTTCAAAGCGTTAAACAGCAAGAAGTCAGCCATTTTTTAAAAATGGCGGATTTTGACCGACTTCCGGTTGTCGAAATGCATTTCCGGGATCATATTCGGATTCCTTGGGTCAAAATCATTCGGAATCGACACCCAGTTTGGGTCTGTAGCTAAAATGAGGTCCGTTCGAAATTTTAACGTTAAATTTCCCCCACCCCCCTAAAAAATCTACCCTAAGGGACAAAATCGAGTGTTACATGGATCAAATCGACCAAATGGGTCTTAGGAACAAGTGTGCCAAGTGGCACCTTGGTATCACGATTTGCAGTTTATTTTTGCCTACCGCTAGCACTAGAAGTGGTGGCCAGGTGCAAGCAATGTAGACACAGAAATGCACGAGAATACCTTTTAAAAAAGTATAAATAACCCAAAGAACTGCAAATTTTCTCAGCCCGCTTCGCTCGCAAACAACTTACACTTACCAACCTAAATATTCCTAAGAACCGCAAATTTTCTCAGCTCGCAGACAAACACTGACCACCCTAGTAAGTCGTAAGAACCGCAAATTTTCTCTCTTTCCGCGCGGGCTTTGTTTGCTCCCAACCGCAAATTTTCTCAGCTCGCTTTGCTCGCAAACGTCTACCACCAAGTAACCCTTAGAACCGCAAACTTTCTGAGCTCGCGTAAATTGCAAACAAATTACGTTTTCCACCCTTTAAGGGGGGACCCTGGTGAAACTTTCAAGTAGGCTTTAAAATAATCCCAGAAAGTTGAAACTTTGCTTGATTATAAGGTTCATTATGGTGAGTTCATAAAACAAAATTCAATCCAAAATGTTGAACGGTCTCTGAGAAAAGTGGCTTTTTAGTGTTTTTTTAGAGCGTTGGGGAAAAATCTTCCTGCGTCTTTCATTGGAACGGAAAGTCTTGAAAATGTTTTTGGGTTATCCTTAAGATTTATAGAAGAGATTTTAGTGACGGAATTTTCAATTTCATCTTCTGTCCTGAGATATCAATTTTCAAATTTAAACATTTAAAAAAAGTGAATTTTTTGCCTTTTTTTGAAACTTTAAGGTGTGTGTTTAAAAAAGTAGGGCTGATATCAAGATTCCATCACTAAAATTTGTCGATAAGTCATCAATGAATAGAGTCCATGCAAGACGACTCATGTAGGTGTCAACCAGGAACGCAGGAAGTCTTTCTACGACTAAATTTTTTGTCGACTGAGCAAAGCTGTGAAGTTGAGCGTATAAGCCAACGACAACTGATCTCAATGTTATTTCTTTCCAAATGATGAAGGAACTACCCACATAGTTTAAAGGTGTTCAACCTGTTGAATCTGATACCTTCTACGCACATTTTTATCTATGAACTTTGAAAATACTATTTTTGGCAATTTTGGTCATTTTTTCACCAGGGTCCCCCCTTAAAGCCCTAAGAACCGCAAATCATCTCAGCTCGCTTCGCTTGCACACGTTAAAACCACAAATTTTCTAAGCTCGCTTCGCTCGCAAACAATTCACATTTACCACCCTTCTAATACATTCAATCGTGTGTTAAAAATTGAAAAAGCACCTGCCGGACCCCCCGATAGGTAGGCAACCCTCAATGCAGACACCCCCGCCCCCGGAGGGAGGAGACGGCTACGCCCCCCCCCCCCCCCGGGGGGGGGGGGGGGGTCGAACATGGCGACAAGAAACATGGAGGGCGTTGCCACCCCTACACTGTGGCAAAAAGGTACGGAAAATTCTGTTAATTTTTTTGCCAGGATTCTCCGTAGCCCTCTTATCAATATTCTCCGTAGGCTCTTACAGTATTCTCCGTAGGGCCGTACAGTATTCTCTGTAAGTCCGCACAGTCTTCTCCGTAGGACCTGGAAGACTGTATAGTCCTACGGAGATCACTGTAAGGTCCTACGGAGAATACTGTGCTGTCCTACGGAAAATACTGTAAGAGCCTACGGAGAATATTGATAAGGGGGCTACGGAGAATTACCACAAGCTGTTTACAGAATTTTCCGTAGCTTTTTGCCACAGTGCTGATGTACCTCGTTTATGCCATTTTCTTCACTGTCGCCATAAGAGTCTAATTCATATGCATCCTGCGGGCTCCGCTTCTGGAAAGCTTGATGTAACACCCCACATGTAACACCAAGTTCGGCGGGGACATAAGTAGCTCCCGTCACTAATATAGGGAAATTCAGTCAGGGTCTCGGCTCTTCTTTCCCCAGCTCTCCAGCTTTCACCAAAGAGAAACGTGCACCTCAGTTGTTTCCTTATGGTCTCCTCAAGAGCTCATTTTGGCAATTCTCTGAAGGCACTCCAGAGCTGTCAAATTGATGACGGTCCTAATGGCAGTACTCAAAGCGCAAATCAGACGAAACAGACTCTCGACTTGACCACAGCCCCGGAGCGTATTTCTCTAAAGGAAGAAAAGCAAAATACTGTATCGGTCACCGTGAGGATTGCAGGGCAAGACAATATCGCTGCAATGCTTACGTACCATGTGCTTCGTCTTTGTGGTCCCTGTAGAATCTAGTCAGGATTGTCGGGGCGTGAGCATTTTCCTTCAACACAAATAAAGCTGTTACTGGTCAAAAAATTTGGCTTCAGCTTAAGGATCTTTCAAGACCCAATGGCGCCATCCAAGCTTAACCGTGTAACTAGGTAGAACCAAAAGTAGTTGCAAAACAACCATGGAAAAAGAATTTAAAAATATCACAAAAGTAACAAACAATAAAAAAAAAACCTCAGTTGATGAGATGCTTAAAAAGGCTCTCATCCTGCCCAGAGCACATGGCGATCCTCCTCATAATGTTCCTTCTCACGTTGTTTATCAGCATTTCTGCCGTTTTAGTTTGGAATGCGTGTTCACTTCTAAGCTGCAGTTCCTCACGGTTTACCGCTAAGGGGCTGCATGTAAACCAGACTCAGGGTGTAGCCCCAGAGGAACATGTCCACAGGGGTGAGATCGCTGGCTTGACCTGCGTTCCATGAACAATGTGGACTGTAAAACCGGTGCCCGATGGATCCCACTGAATTTTGAGCAATAACGAAAACAGGGACTCTGACCCACTGTGCGTCTTATCACATTTCGCAATGTAGCTCCCAACACCTCAACGCGGCATAGCGGGGAATCCCCGCCTCTATATTTCTTATCACGAAGTGATAATTCAGACCAAGGGACGAGCCATTGCTTTTTAAACGAGAGTTGAAATACTGTAGGGAACAGTCCGGTAAAGAGCCTCTTCAACAGCACGGCTGAGCGTCACATTCAAAGGTCAGACAGCATTGCTCTACTGTAAACTTAAATTAGGACTTTTGTATCTAATTTTGTGCTCAGAGAGGGTCATTTTTACAGAAAATAAACCAAAACAAATAACCCGAAATCGAGGGGTCCATTCCAGACGATCATATCGCCACGTTTCCATACACGTTTCCATGGACAGAATCTTCTCAGAGGCTAATCCAAAGCGAATTTCGCTAAGTTTGATGATTTGGAACCGATAAGAGAGTAAGCGAAACACTTCCACAAGCACTTTCCGACGTTTAAAGTTTGAACAACGCGCAATTACTGGGTCACGAGCAATCGCGTAAGACGGTTTTAGGCCATTTTCAGTGTACTGCCTTCTTAAGATATGATCCTTTGAACGGACACGACGATAGAAGACCTTTTGAATGAGATGCCTCGGAATGTGCTTGCTTCAGTCTTTCCAAATTGATGCAATTGTTCACTTGTGCAATTTAGGCCGGGGGGGGGGGAGGGGGCTAAAGTGAAGAAAATCGATTTTTGCTGTTTTTTTTCACTCTTTGGGCCTTGGTACAATCAAGCATGACCATAGTATTTCAACCCACAGCACCGTCAAATCGGCATAGGGGCCTGTTGATCCGTAGAATCACTGTGAGGTTAGGTTAGGCCCTTTAACTTTAAACCGGTTTTTCTTTGTAACTTGTTTTTTCTTGCGCGGAATAAGAGGTAGAATGTTGTGCGACGGCTGAAAATGATCAGTGTTCATTTGCCTACAAGACAAGGGAGAGTTTTTTTTTCTTTATTTTCAAAAATATATCTTAATGTCTAGTTACAGGTCAATGAATGTCCAAAAGCGGCATAAAAACAGTCATGGTTCTAGTTTTTAAGGTTAAAACCGAAAGTTTTGAAATCCGGCTCCCTTTCAGTAGCGTTCCGGATAAAATTCTTTATTAGGAAACTCCGTATACGAATGTTTGAATTGGACCTCTCGTACGGTGCCTTGCAAATTCTATGGTCCAAAACCGTCATTTTCTAAAAGGCATAAGAAAGTCGTAAAATAACCAAACTTTGGCCGAGGTGTTTTCTTACTAAATGCAACAATGTGGCAATATGGTTTGTTTTTGGTTCAATTTGGAAATAAGGGAGATTTAACGCTCTGTTAAAATATCGTATGTTTATCTCTACTCGTTTCAAATTCATGACGATTTAACGAAAATCTGAGTATGAAGTAGAGTGATGTCACCCCTTTGTTGTTTTCTTCATACTTCGAACATCTTAATTTTTACGCGACCGTTGCTTACAGATGGTTCGTTTCTACCTGCTTGTGGAAATTTTCGTGGTTTTCTTCTTTGCCTTGGGTGAGTTTCTACTTCATGCGAAATACCAAAGTAGGTACTGCGCAGTAGAATCCAAAATACAAATTCATATTTCTGAGTCAACGTGAAACATAATTTACAATGCAGAAGCTACACTCAGACAAGGTGGTGCCCTGAAACTGACCGACTAAGTCGCCCGCCCCAGTTTTTAGGGCGACTTGAGTCGCCGACTTTCTGGGCGACACAGTCGCCTAGTTTCTGGGCGACACAGTCGCCTAGTTTTAGGGCATCTTGGTCGTAAATACAGAGCTTACTTATGAATGCTGGCCCAAGGCGCCCTCAACCTGAGCACCTTTGGGGTTGGTCCGACCTAATGTAAACCACTGCTGCCCAGATTCGGGGCACCTATTGCGCCTAGATTCGGGGCATCTCTGACGCCACCCAAATGTGAAATCATTGAGTTTATCCATGTGCAGGCAAACTTGTGTGCCATGCCTTGGGCCAGCATAGATAAGTAAGCTCTGTATTTGCGACCAAGATGCCCTAAAACTAGGCGACTGTGTCGCCCAGAAACTAGGCGACTGTGTCGTCCAGAAAGTAGGCGACTCAAGTCGCCCTAAAAACTGGGGCGGGCGACTTAGTCGGTCAGTTTCAGGGCACCACCTTGTCTCAGTGTAGATCTGACACAATTGATTAAAAAAATTCGTTTTTCGGACCTGTTAATTCCAATTCCAGAGCAGTTTTTGGTGTAAATGAAGGGCATGTGGTTAAGTGGAACCAGATACCCCAAAAGCCATCGCATATTGGGAACTGTCGGGCCACTGTACAGGGTGAGTTTCCTCAATGTGTCAATAATTTGCAGGCAGTTTGGGCATCCCTAGGGGACCATTTTTCACCAATGAACTAGTGGGCGCAAACGTCTAGGTACGGAGATAATTGGTGTTTTGTAATTGGATTTTGCGCGTACGAGGTAGGCACCCGGTGCCACTGAGGGCGGCAGGACCTGTCGAGGGGGTGTCGCGGGACTAGTAGTACTCGCGGGAGTGCCACTGACCTCGCGGAAGTATCCGAGGAATCCCGCCACCCTCGCAAAGACAGCCGTGAGATCCACTGTAACGGGGTCCACCATGACAGCCTCTTGAGACCCGCGGCAATCCCCCCCAAAAGACATTTGCAAGGTCCGCCGCACCCCTACGAGACTCGAAGCACCCCTCCTAGACCCGCGACACCCACACGTGAGGTCCTGCGACCAGCAGTGGCAGCGGGTGCCTACCTTGCAGGCGCGAAGGCCAATTACAAAACCCCAAATTATCTCCGTACCTAGACTTTTGCGCCCACTAGTTCATTGGTAGAAAATGATTGCCTTGGGGTGATCAAACTACCTACAAATTATTGACACATTGAGAAAACTCACCCTGTACTAGGGGTACGCGCCGTTGTGTGTGGGCGCGTAGTGTGGCTGAGCGATGCGAATTTGGACTTCGGACTTTGCTTAAGTTGACGAAATGTACAGCTTGTGGGCTCATATCAAAAGAAGTGTAGGTCTGGGGTGTAAATGGAAGTGATTTTCGTTATCAGCACAAAAAAAACTGTTGGGATCAACGTCAAACTAAATTTCCCAAAAATTTTGGACTAAAATTGGTCAAAATTCGGTTATGCGCGAGTCTGGGAAAAATTTGGAAGTCATTTTTGAGTTCAGCTCACCAAAAACTGCAGGAAACAATATAAAACTCGATTTGAAAATTTTGGTCAAAAGTGACCCAATTTGAAATGAAAATATAAGTCTGGAGTCAAAATGGAGGTGATTTTCGTTATCAGCACACAAAAAACTGTTAGGATCAACATCAAACTCAATAAAAAAATTTTTGGTCCAAATTTGGTCAAAATTTGCTAAAGCGTGAGTCTGGGAAAAATTTGGAAGTTATTTTTGAGTTCAGCTCATCAAACACTGCAGGAAACAATGTAAAACTCGACCTAAAAATTTTGGTCTGAAATGACCAAATTTGAGATGAAAATATAAGTCTGGAGTAGAAATGGAAGTGGTTTTCATAATCAGCACCCCAAAAAACTCCAAGAATCAATATGAGATTCGATTAAAAAATATTGATATCAAATTGATCAATAATTGGTAAAGAATGGGTCTGGGTTGGTCTTCATGGATCACCCTTTGTCGTCACCAATACCCTGATGCCACACCAATGCGATTCTTTCAGTCGAGTAACATTCCATTGCCAGCATAGAATCGCTTAATTTGCTTGAGTCACTATTATATATATCTTTTTCTTCAAACTCATGAATTCACAAATTTATTAGATATATTTGAGAAGCCTTTTGTCATTATTTTTTTTCTAAACCAGTGAATTAAACAATATAGACTGGAATATGTAATCATATTTTATATTTAGTGACTCTTTTTAGGGCAGGCGGATCTGAAGCATTCGACGGAGACCAATTTTTGTCAAATTCAGTGTATCGTCTCATGAAGTACAATGCAGAGGCCACTTGTTGCTCAATACGCCAACTTAATTTACCTTATTCATGCCTCGTGATATTTTATCTTTGGAGTAAAAGAATACAGTATAGTTTTAACATTGGGCTTACATTCAGAGAGCCAGCTTTTAAACCATTACCAATATTTAGTTCCAGTTGTCGGACACAAACTTTGGTGAAGTGAAAGGAATCGTGTCATTAAACCCAAATTTACCAAGTCACCCACCGCTCAAAACCTGAATCGTCTCATTGAACCCAATATCAATTCAAAATCTGTTAGCACTAAATATTGGATTATTCATTGCACTAAATACATCTATTTATGGATTATTTTAATCAATAGATCTTAGTACTAAAATATTTATGTTAGCTTGCAGCATTGCAATAGAATGTCATTTCCCGAGACAAACCAAGACATTTAACATGTCTTCCAATTTTAACACAAGTTATTCATGCATTTACCTGTTTTGATGGACTATGTTTTTTAAAAAATAAAGATGTTATCAGAGGAAACAAAATCAGTAGATGCATACAAAGTAAAAGGCAAAGAAAACATTCTTTTAACAATCCACAACTACACTCACAGTGCACTGACCTGAAGGAAGATTCCCCCGTGACGGGGGAGGGGGAGAGGAGAACGAAACACGGAAACCATTCTCACTTTCAGTTTTCGTATTTTCCTCTGTTGACACTCCGGAAGGGTTTCAATCATTCTAGAATTTTAAAAAACTATCTCAGTACCTATTTGAGAACCCCTTTGCTCTTTAGTTTGTTTATTTCATAAGTGCCGCCCCGTCTTGCAGACGGCTTGCAAGCGCGGCAGCCGGTATGAGAAATTGGTCAGCCACACGCTGCTACCAACCTAACCACGCTAATTACCTAATTCAAAACGATGTTTTGAATTTTTCAAACGATGATAATTTTTAAATCTAAGATAAACTCCCCTGTAGGATGTTTAGGAGACATCAGGTGTGAAATTTGGATACTATTCGTTCAGTAGTTGCTGAGAAACGTGAGTGATTACATACAGAGGGACAGACGCACGACCAGTCAGTTTTTGGTGCGCCCAAACACGGCATGGGCTTCGCTATCGCTCAGCCAATAATGTTGGGTGACTTTGCCGGTTTTGCGTAACTGTGCGTCGGAGAACCCACAAAAGTCCATTGTTTGCTCCAGGGGCGGTCTGCCCGTGTGGAAAAAAGTCGCGTGATTCGGTCCTTGCTTCGTCGTTTTGAGCATGTGGAAAACCACGATCAAACAAGTAAGATAAGGCGAGGGGGCGACGAAAAAAAAAGCATTCGATCGTCTGCTTTCGGTCTTGGGCTCGCCCCAAATAAGTGCTAAGCTAAGATTTTGTAGAACTGATACAAATTTTACAATGGTGCAATCAACTTAATTATTACAGGCAGAAAACAATTTTAGAATCGGTTATAATTAGGAACAGTCTAACAATCTGTTATTAGTGTTCTGCAATTATAGCGAGTCTGATGTGCAGACATCCGCTCAACTGCATTTCCTACGCACGCCTTCACACATTTACGAGGATAACATCTCTTATTACCTCAGATTCCCTGTCTAGCTATTCGAGTTATTGTATGCAACAAATATCAGCCTTCAGTTTGTCTTGTTGCACCTTCGACCTGGCAACAGAAGGGCAATTGAGAAGTGAGGTAATAAATTTATCAGGTTATTTAGATCATCGCGTAGGATCAGACTTTCAGGGGATTGATGTTTCTTAAACGGAAAGGTTAATTTTTGAAAATGTCAAATATCTATGATGAATGAACGACTGATCAGAGAGGTTGCTCAACTCTGGCTTTTCAATTTTTAACAGGGTCAGATGCATGCCAAACGCACGACCAACCATGTACAGGAGGCGGCCTCGGTAACTGCTGTGGCGGCCAGAACCTCGTTTGTCACAAAGCATGTCCCGGCTGGAGGCAGGGTCGCTGCTACCATCGAGGGAAGACGTTGCCTGGCTGCTTGAGTGCAGCGGCTGTTGAAACCACTTTGAGGCCCCCTCCTTCAGACGGCAACAGAGACGAAGGTTGGTGCTTTACAAATCGAAGAGCGTACATTGTATGCTCTAACTGGAACATACCTGCAAGCACGCTCTAGTTGGCACATGCCTGCCAAGCATGCACTTACTACTTACTAGTGCATACATGCCATGTACACGCTAACTGAAGCATGCATCTAGTGCACAAGGGATAGGGAAGCGTGTACATGACATGTATGCACTAGTAAGTGCATGCTTGGCAGGCATGTGCTAGCGAGAGCGTGCTTGCAGGCATGCTCCAGTTAAGTTACACTCTGAATCCAGGAACGTGACACCACGCACGGCAAAAGTACCGCCTGGGATTCCCAGGCGCATCATGGGGAAAAGGGCCTATTTTCCAGGCACCGCCTGGGAATCCCAGGCGGTACTTTTGCCGTGCGAGCATTGTGTCACATTCTTTTCAATGTGAACAAGCTCGTTTTTGGCCAATTCGCACCCACACGAATGTGACAAAATGCTCAAACGAACGTGACAATGTGTCATGTTCGTTTCAACGTGATGTCACGTTCCTGGGATGAGAGTGTAGAGCATAAAATGTACGCTCTTCGATTTGTAGAGTAAATGCAGTGTCAATACCTCACCAGCTTCCGAATAATGCTCTGGAAGTGGGTCATATTATTTGTCAGTTTTAAGTTAAGGGGGCAACACACTGAAAACACGGAAATGCAACGAAATATAATTCACGGTAAGTGTTTCTCTGTCCCTGTTTAGGGTCTCCCTGTTTTAATTCAGCGGCCGCCAGCCACGGGGTCTGCACGCATGATTGCGAATGGGCGCGACATCAAACACACGCTCAGACGTGTGGCGGTGATACCCGAGCCCATTCGAAAACTATATGGTGCTGTCCGGCGTCCCATCACGAAAGGAAAGCGACACAAAGTAAGTATACTGCCGCGCTGAAGTTGGCCAGGAAAAAGTGACCTCATGCGGGAACTATCAGGGACTTTGTCGAAACTCATTTCTCAACCCCACGAAAAACATAGCAAAATATGGCGGATCATAATTTTCACATACCGTAGAACGGGGTAATATGAGACAAATTTCGAGGTTTTTTTTTTGAATTTTCCCCTTTCAATTTCAATTTGAGGTACTGAGGTGTTCATCACTTGTTCATTGACCCTTTGGCTACACTCTCACCAAATTTCAGATTTTTAGGTGCAGCAGGGATCTTTCAATAACCCTCGGAATGCCGTCCCATATTTCCCTGCAATGTGGGGTAATGTGAGACAGAAGAAAGAAATGTTAAAGAAGTATGGATAATTACATCATTGAGGCGGGTTTGGAGCTTTTTAAGTTCTTTTCATTCGTTTTAAAGATAATTGGAAACTATAATGGAGACGATATTAAATCTGGAGGGGAGAAAAATGGGTGTCACTAAAGAAAGCTGAAAAATGTATAAAAAGTCATGAGTTGTGCCTGTCACATGAAAAAACTAAACGAAGAGCATAGATGCCGGTCAGATAGTAAAACAAATTCGTGTTAAAATAATCATTACTTGAAATTATTAACAGTGGAGTATGTTTGGCCTCATGTTTCAAGCGAAAAGAGGTGTCTCTATTTTCCCTGCAAGGTAACAAAATTGTATTCCATCTGGAACAGGCAGCCCGGGAGTAGACATAACGGAACCAAATTTTGTCCTGATTATGTTGACATAATTGCTTACAGATTTAAACCTCGTTCGGACGAGAAACCGAGTGCAAACCGAGGTTTCTGGGGAGGTTTTTACTTACTTTATAAAACTTGTTAGAATTTAGAGGTTTTACCTTCGGTTCTAAATAACCCTGGCGAGCCTTCGTGCGTTTCCCGTGAGCTGCCACGGCCTCATAGATCACGAAAAAAAATTCACGGTGGACTTCTGAACAACCGCTAGATAGCAACACGACAAAAACCGAAAAAAGTGCGCTTTGTCTCGATTTTCCTTCATGTCTCATATTACTCCGTTCTACGGTATGTTCAGTAGGGTGCCGCGAAAAACACTTTTTTCTGAAATTGATATCGGCTTGGGTGGCAAAGTGTTCTCTCAGGGGTCAATATGAACGGTTTTAAATATCACCCCGATCGGATAATATCTTCAGCCCCCACAACGGCCTTGAAAATCGGAAAAATGGTTAAAAACGCCTTGTGGGTAGGCAATTTGTTTGCACGCTTCCGGCCACTTCCAGGCATGTCGTTAGGCTTAAAAAGTCGAAAGGGGACCCCCTCAGCCTAAAATAAATTTGTGGACAACCTCACTCTATGATTAATACCAGTTTCTGCAAAGTTAACGCATGATATTTAACAATTCTGTCATGATTTGCCTGTAAATTCCCATGTATGTCACTTTCGCCCATTTCGACCGTCTTTTTCTCCGATCTGACTTGCTTCCTGAGGTCAGAAGGGTCGATTTAGGGGGGGTTCATTTTGGGTCAAAAATCGCTAGGACGCTCCGTTTGGCGAGAAAAATGGGTCTACTTAATCAATTTTTCTGCAATTTCGGTTATTTTGACCCAATTTTCCCGCCAAACGAAGCGTCCTAGCGATTTTTGACCCCAAGTGAACCCCCCTAAATCGACCCTTCTGACCTCAAGAAGCAAGTCAGATCGGAGAAAAAGACGGTCGAAATGGGCGAAAGTGACATACATGGGAATTTACAGGCAAATCATGACAGAATTGTTAAATATCATGCGTTAACTTTGCAGAAACTGGTATTAATCATAGAGTGAGGTTGTCCACAAATTTATTTTAGGCTGAGGGGGTCCCCTTTCGACTTTTTAAGCCTAACGACATGCCTGGAAGTGGCCGGAAGCGTGCAAACAAATTGCCTACCCACAAGGCGTTTTTAACCATTTTTCCGATTTTCAAGGCCGTTGTGGGGGCTGAAGATATTATCCGATCGGGGTGATATTTAAAACCGTTCATATTGGCCCCTGAGAGAACACTTTGCCACCCGAGCCGATATCAGTTTCAGAAAAAAGTGTTTTTCGCGGCACCCTAATGTTCAGGCCCGGACTGGCCAGGGCATTTGGGCAGAAAAATATGCCGGGGCCCCGGCGTTGTCGGGGCCCCCCAACTTACAGTTGCGAGGCCTCTCTGGCCGCTGGGTCTCAAATCGACCCGAAATACCTTTAATTCGTAGTGCTGCCCCCTTACAAACTGGCAGGAATTGCATTTTGAACACACAATAGGCCTTGGCTTTTAGCTCGCTTCGCTCGCATAGTAATGCGGAATCGCGTGAAACGAATCTATCATCAGGTCGATGAGTTCCGAGCAGGTCCAGGTCAGTTCCTGAAAAACTTGCAACAATGTTTTAGTTTGCTGTGAACCAGCTTACCAAAAGATATGCATGTTTTCGTTTCGTCATTTGGGAGAAAATTTAAATTGCATTAGAAAAATTTTAAAGCTCGCTTCGCTCGCAGTTTCCGCTGCTAATGTTTTGCTGCTAGCATAAGAAACTAACCCTGGGTAATTATATCATTTCTACAATTTCAGAAGTCAGGGAAAATCACAAGGGTTGTCGTAACATATTTATCTAGAGGATTTCGACTTGCGAGGAGGGGGGAGCAGGGGCCCTTTTGACAATTTTCTGCCGGGGCCCTCTATGAGCCAGTCCGGCCCTGGGTATGTTCGAGGTTTTGTTTCTTTCAGTGTGCAGAGAGTACTCAAAGCACCCATGGCTCGACGCCGAGCGTCGGAGCCCGACTGGACAGGTTTCTAAAAGGCGCTGCATGACTTCGCTCAAACCCCTCATGGCTGGCGCGGAACGGGCCCAACTGCAGGAGTACCCCCACATGGTGAGCGGTGTCTTCAGTACAGTCAGTGGGGTCATTCTACAGAAATGTTACAATATGATGTCCCTATCCCTTTGTGACGAAAGTGTTCGTCCAGGAAAGCGACGTGGTTTGCGTAATGAGTAGTGCTTTTTGTGCTTTGAAATGATCCTCTTCTGGGTTTCAAAATTCCTGAGGTTTTTAGGTGGCTGTGGCCTCCGATAGGTGCAAAATGTTAACTCCGTAGCTGTTCCGATGCATAGCCCTTGCAAAATGGAAAATATATGGGCACTGTATGGACAAAATATATGGCCCAACATGTATTGATGACATATGTGGAAAAGATAATTTAGCAAGATACTTTTCCGATATAAAAAATATGTGGCAAATATATAAATTTCATACATTGGTCTATATGTAGGCAATATATAGTGTGAATACACCATAGAGTCTAACGACTCAGAGACTTCGTTTACTCTTATAAAAGAATGTAAACTTCGCCTTCAGAGGACATCCAATTGTGGTCCTACCGTGGTCTCTTCGAAGAACTTTTCGCGCTACGCCCAAAAAAGACGTTTAAAATTTCCGAACTGTTCCAGTTCACTTGTTAAACAGGATTTCTCAAAATTTCTTGGAGACTTAAACGCATGGAAAAGAACCTTTCCCCTGCTCAATATATGGCGTCAATATATTTTACAATATAAAATCATGTTGAGAAATATAGCCGCCTTTCAACATCCAGTGCCAAGATTTTGAGAAAAGTTACGTGAAAAGTCTGCCCTCCTCACCCTGCCCCATCCCAAGACGGGGACCGTGTCAGATATTGAAACATATATTTCGCGAAGATAATATTATATGGGGAAATATATGCAGTATATATTAACGGGCACCAATATATACCCCCATCTATAAACCACGTATTGCGCAAGATAATTTGCAATATATTGAGCAAGATACAATTATATTGACAATGCATGAAACATATATGGAGTCATATACTGACACATATTTTCCATATATTTTCCTTTTTGCAAGGGAGTACACAAAGTTTGCGCCTTTCGTATGTCTAAACGAGACACAGGACAATCGTTCCTGAGGGCTCTATTTTCCAAGGCTCTTTCATACTTAAACTTGATCTTACTGACAATCATAAAAAGTTTGAAGCTTTGCGCCTGCTCACAGTTTACTTTTGTCCCGACGTTTTTACTTCCCAATAGACGTGTACACTGTAACTAGTTTGGCACTCCACGAACGAACGGGAAGTCGCAGCCTTAATCTAAGGGCTGCAATGTAGACTTTTGCAGACAACAAGTTTGAGGGATGTGTGTCCGATGGATAGCATCAGATTGGTTCCCAAATTACAAAAAGGGGGTCGCGTATTTTTTGTGTATGTAAACTCATACCCGATTTGCTATACGGACCCCTTATGCGACAAACGTTCGAAATGTGGATAAAAACATTCGTTTGGTGGTCCTTAAGGGGGCAATACACTGAAAATGGCCAAAAACTGACTTGTGCGATTGCTTCCAAACGCGTTGTTGAGCGTTGTGCAAACTTTTCATGTGTCAAGACCTTACAAAAAGAAGCATTTTAAGCCCAGAATGGCGTCGATTGGACGTCAGGGAGCGGAGCAGCGCCCAATCAAATTTTCGTCAAAAGTCGAACTGGCGGGCGTCCCTCAGTCCGCAAAAATGAAGATATCTCAACCCCGTTTGCGCCAAAATGTAGATAATTGAAGCGGCTATCGCATGAACTAGGATTATGAACATCGAGTAACCGAAAGTTCAAAATTTCATCCAAAAACACTGTTTGAGGATTTTGCAAAAATGATCAAAACAGGTTTTTTCGTAAAATTTTGTACTTTTGATTGTTCGATGTTCATAATCCTTTATTCGGGGTTTAGATATCTTCATTTTTGCGGACTGAGGGACGCCTGTCAGTTCGACTTTTGACGAAAATTTGATTGGTTGCTGCTCCGTTTCCTGACGTCCGATCAATGCCATTCTGGGCTTAAAATGCTTCTTTTTGTAAGGTCTTGACACATGAAAACTAAGAACAACGCACAACAACGCGTATGGGAGCAATCACACAAGTCAGTTTTGGGCCATTTTCAGTGTATTGCCCCCTTAAGTCAGATGTGTATGCGCATTCTACTGTTTCAACTCATACGGCTGCAATCCAGGTGTTTGCTTCAAAATGTAAACTCCGTAGGCGTCAGTTTAAGTAAACTCCGTAGTCATTGCCCCTATTATTTTAGGGGAGACTAAAATTTTTCTCGACAAGCGTTGCGCTTGATTAAGTTTTTCATTCTGCATGCCAAACAAGAAAAACGAGCCCAGTATGCTCAAAATCGGACAACTTTTAATTTTCCACAGTTCAAAACCCGATATTGTAATATTTCTATGTAGAATGACCCATGTTCGTTGCTCGCAGGCTCTGATTGGTGGCTACAATCCTGACAGCGAACGCAACCTCCACTTCTGGTGTGGAGGCTCCCTCATATCCCTTGACTTCGTCCTGACAGCGGCACACTGCCAAACAAGGTAAAGAGGAAATTGTCACATGTTCTGCATTATCACACGTAACGCTCCCCACCCTAAATGTCTTACGAAGAAATTTCCCATAATACGAAGGAAATGGCCTAAGCGTAATACGAAGGTGGTTTTTCTTCGTACGAACGTTTTTCTTTGTATCTCACAATGAAAAAGCAACAAAGATTCGTGTTACGAAGTGCTTCGTACGTATTCTGCTTGCGCCGAATTCACTGTTACATAAGTATAACATAAGTCAAATTTCATTGTAAGACATTTAGAGTGCCGAGACGATCGTTAAAATGCTTCCAAGGAAGAGCGGCACAGTGGCTTTTAAGCTTAGCACTACAACGTGCGTATTAGTGTCACTGTCAAACACAACTGATTTCAATATTTCCATTAGGAACTCTGCGTTCGCTTGTACTATCGAAAAAAAATGGGAATTTGCGACGGTAACTCTAGAAAAACTGGTGCCTAAATTCTGAAATTATCGAAAAATCTTCAGAAACTACCAAGAATGCTCGTGAATATACGAATGTTCCTTTCTCAAAATTTCTTTCAGAAGCGCCTTCGGACGTTCCGTCAACTATTTTAGACAAATACAAACTGATTGAAAAAAAAGCAAGAGCGCAGTGAGTCATAATTTTTTAAAAATATTTTGTTTCAGGAAAACGCGACCGACTCACGTACGGCTAGGTGGTTTGGAAAGCAACGGCAGCTCATCGGAACCTTTCGCTCAGACCATTGAAGTAGTAGAGCTATTCATTCCCAGCAGTTACAAGCCACCTAAGCTTTACAGCGATCTGTTGCTGTTGAAGCTGAAGCAGAGTGTAAAAGTGGGCGATTACGTTCGGCCCGCGTGTTTGCACCCCGGTGGAACTGTGAAGAAAGACCTTGAAGTCACAGGGTGGGGGGCCACCTACGACCTCGAGAGGGGTCGTAAGTATAACATGCTAGCTATGTGCATTGTTTACGAGTAGAAAACACTACCCACCCACAACGTCAAAAGGGTTTCTTTCCGCTCTTTTCATTCTTTCAGTAGACTCAGTCAGGTCAAAAGAGACCAGCTAATACACTGGTAGCCAAGGAATGTGACGTCACGTTCGTTTTCAAGTGAAAACTGCGATGTTGGTTTGAGCGTGACAAACGGTGAAAATTTACAGTCAAACGAATGTGACGCACCGCACCGCTTTGTCACATTACTTCGGGTGTGACACGCAATCAGCTGTCGAACTGTCACCTTAAAACGAATGTGCGACACATGGTACCCAAGTACACTTGTCATGTCACATTCAAACGAATGCGACACGCCATGATTGTCAGATTAAGGGCTGTCACGTTCGTTTTAATGATTTAAGATTAGACACATTTATTTTGTTTAACTTGTAAAATATTTCGCGAAACTATGTCTCAAACGGTCTCAAAGCAAGAGGGTCGTTTTTACTGCACTGCCAATCCAAGTGTGACACAGTCTCACACTATTTAGTGCGAGACACTATGTCTCACGCTTACAACCGTGAGCCACGTTTGTCTCACGCTTCCTAGTGTAAGACACCGTTTGTCTTACACTTGCAAGAGTGGGTCCTGTGGCATTGAACCAAAGAAAACCACAGGCAGCAAGTGTGGGACAAATGGTGTCTCACACTTGGAAGCGTGAGACAAACGTGGCTCACACTTGGAAGCGTGAGACAAACGTGGCTCACGCTAGTAAGCGTGAGACACAGTGTCTCGCACTGAGACTGTCTCACACTTGGATTGGCAGTGAAACAAGTGTTAAAAATTTAGATGGAAGATTTTCAGGGGGCACTGAGACTGAGAAGCTCTGTGCGCGGTGATATTTTGTCTTTATGTCTTGCGCCTTTCACACACCAGGCTAATTCTTTCCCACACTACAAACCTAACTGTCTACTAAGTACACACTTACAAATGCATGCTTGCAAGTACACACTTACAAACGCATGCTTGGCCAAGTACACACTTACAAATGCATGCTTGCAAGTACACACTTACAAACGCATGCTTGGCCAAGTACACACTTACAAATGCATGCTTGCAAGTACACACTTACAAATGCGTGCTTGAGGCCGTATAACTCTATGCGTCAAGCATGCGTTTGTAAGTGTGTACTTGCCAGCATGCATTTGTAAGTGTGTACTTGGCCAAGCATGCGTTTGTAAGTGTGTACTTGCAAGCATGCATTTGTAAGTGTGTACTTAGTAGACAGTTAGGTTTGTAGTGCAAGTCACCCGAGACCCCAAAATCAATGTCTCGGATTTTGACGAAACTTTGTCGGTGTGTTCACTCTCAATCCAGGAACGTGACACTACGTCGAAACGAACGTGACAAAGTGTCACGTTCCTTTGAGCACACGCAGAGAAATGTTTAGCGCTGGCTGCTAATTCTTAACTGCCCTTGCTAATAATCTTAGCTGTATATGGACAGCTAATACCTTAGCACCAGTTGCTAATATTCTTAGCTGGCACATATTAGCTAGGTAGCTAAGGCCTTAGCAAGCAAAACTAAGTCAGAAAATTTTCGGTATTCGAACCTCAGACTTTTACTTGCCGACTTGTTACCTTTCCCCTTCGGCTACTGCCGTTCCTTCTGCGGAGAGGAGTTAGGGAGGACTCATATCCTACGCTGGGGTCGAATGATCAGTCAATAGGAGCTTAGCGCCAGCAGCTAATTTATTAGCACCACCGCTAAACCTCTGTGCTAAGATTTTTGTCAAGTCTTGCTAAGTTGTGTTAGCTTCCGCTGCTAAGTCTGCACAATGTAGCTAAGGATATTAGTTCTTGTGCTAAGTCTCTCTTGCTAAGGTACATTAGCAGGTCAGCTAAGTTATTTTTCTGCGTGCATTGTGTCACATTCGTTTGAATGTGAACAAGCTGGTTTTTTGGCCAATTCGCACCCAAACGAATGTGACACAATGTCACGTTCCTGGCATTAGAGTGTTCCCTATACAGCATAGCGCTTCAGAAAAGAAAAAATGAAACTTTGTTGGTCGGACCGAAAAGCTTAAATCACGTAGTTTGTAAAAAAAATTGAACTTAAAAGTTGTTTATTGCCTTGGATACTCCGTGGATTTCTTTTCTCTTGATCGTACCGTGACTTTTCCAGTGAAGGGCAACAACACAAAGAATGGTTGTAAATTTGCGTACAAGGAAGGATACCTTTTAACTGATCATATCTGGTGCATTCGAAGGTCGATCCGCAGGTCAAACGTTGTTGAAAGGTAGAAGGTGCATCATTTATCAAATCCTTATCGAAGTTTTTTGAAACGTCGGCCTGCGTTTCGAGACCTTTGACCTGTTTTTTTTTAGTTAGGTTAGACAGCCTGCTTTGGCAAACATATTATTATCTGCCTTTTATAACGACACAAAGCACATCCGATTGATTTGATTGGACTTAGGAAGAGATATTCCTGTAGGACCACTCTTGAACATCTTTACTATTTTCTGTGTCTAGGTTCAAGTGATTTAACATTTTTCCTGTCTGTCTCTTTTTGTGTTGGTTTTTAGGAGGACTCCACAAAAACCTGATGAAGCTAAGAATCTATAAACAAAAGTCAAGTTACTGTGAAAATAACTTCCAACCGGACCCCATTGACCGAAAGCTGCCCGAAGGATTAAAGAAAAGTAGCCAGCTGTGTGCAAAACCTAGTCAAAGAACACAAGGCATCTGCCAAGTAAGTTCACGCCAGCCAAATTATTTCTTGGGGACTAAATGCCTCACGGCAGAAACAAAACCTGTGGTTACTTGTTCTTCGTGTGACTTTTGTTTTAGATTAATTACCAATTAACACAAGGGCTACAAATCAAAATACCTATTTTTGTTTCTAGGGTGACTCTGGCGGGCCGCTGTCATATTACATGGATTCCTACGAAGACCCTTTCATGTGCATGCACACAGTTTATGGCATCACTTCCATGAACCCTGCTGGAACCTGTGAGTCTGGGGACCCAGTTGTCTTCACAAGAGTATCTTACCATTTGTCGTGGATAGAACAGATTGTATGGCCGTAGATGGATCAAAACTTTCGCTGAAATGGCACACAAAGGAAGAAAGAGAAATAAAGAAACAGGTTTTCCCTTTAACGTTTATTTTTTTAAAACAAGACAGAGGAAACCACAACAAAATTTCATGTTAAATTGTTGTTGTAGTTTTTCTGGTTAGCTCTTGTCCAAGGTCTAATAAATTCAAGCACAATTTGGACCACTGAATAACAATTTTACAATCCTTTTCATGTCCAAGGTATAAAACAGTACCATTCAAACTAATTTTAGGCATTCACACTGCTTTGACCTTGTTTTACCACACCGGTGTGCAATGTGAAGACAAATTTAAGTTCAAAAAAGTTAGTCGTCAGAACTTTGAGGTTTGAGAAAACCCGTTTTGTAATGTTCCGTCATGTTCACAGCTGTAGTACGGCAATTGGGCCGCTAGGCTTTGTTCTCTATCAATCACCAATGGTGACGTTTGTACATACCACATAGGCGCGAATCCAGAGACGGATTGAGGGAAGGGTTTACCGGAACCGGAAGGGTTTACAGAAGTTGCTTCCTACACTGAGAAAATTTGTTGACCCTTTAAGACAAAAACGTGGATGATGTTTTCATCACTTTCAAATGATGACAATCTCATCTCAAATTGGTGACATTTTAATCGAGGCTCCTGTACTGATGGCATGGGCGTGACAACAATACCATCTATTGTTTTAATGCCACTGTTGTAAGAAAAATTTGCCTTGAAATTTTCATTAAATGACGATTCAGATAACCTGAGTCAGAGTACAGGGGTGAAGTGCGACTTTTGGCGTACCTTTCAGGTAAGCAAAACTTGTACCACGTATGGATTGCAGGAAAATGTTAGCCGTGTGTCAACGAGCCATGTAGTGCTTATTTTTTTTTTAAAAAAAAAAGCTCAAATGGAATTTCTTAATTTAGGTGGTGTAGCTCTTATACCAGCAGCGTCTGCTGATTCAAGGTCCTAACATGGATGTGCAATCTTTCTACACAGGTCAAACACGCCCGGTGACTCATGACTTTAAGGCGCTGTCAATGCAGAGGACTGCGGAGTGTTGTCAGAATAACCATCTCAGTCTTAAAGGGGAGTCAGCCAAACCGGCCTGGTCAAGCCTACAATTCCCGGTGCACTGTCAGAAATTTTGTCGTAAATTAGCGACAAAAACGTCGCTAATTTTGATAGCGACAGAAATCGTTCTGAAACTACTTCGTCGTAACTGAACGACGAAAAAATCATTTCTCTACGACAATGTCGTAAACGCGATTACATATTTTGAAATCTGAAATCCCCGAAAAGTTGATGAAAAGTTGCAATTGTGCTCGCTTATTTACGATTTGTGTCGTTCATTTACGATTCATGACACAAATTTACGACAAGATTCGTAAATGTACGATTGAAGTCATAACTGCACGACATATTCAAAACATAAATTACGATCGTTCGTAAAATTACGATTAAGTTGTAAATTAACGACTTAATTCGTTTCAAAACGGAACGTCTCGCTATCAAAATTAGCGACAAATAAGTCGTAAATTTACGACTCAAGTCGTATATTTACGACTTGAGTCGTAACAAAATATGTCGTTTTAAAACGACATAATTGTTCTACAAAATGTCGTAAATTTACGACGATTTTTAACAGTGTGTTGTCGACTTCGGTATTGCTGAAAAATGTCAGTACGCATTTTCTTTTCAGTTCCTGATGTTTCGCAGAATCCACGGCAAGTATGCCGCCACTCGCACATACACGGCGTGCTGGTTGGGACGGCCACAACTGTCGGCCGCGATGCTCAGGATCCCTGCGACCAAGGGCAAATAACTCCAGTTAAATTTGGGCACCGAAATTCATCAAACTTGTAAAATGCACTGAAATTCATTAATATTCATCGAAATTCGATGGAAATTCATCGAAATTCGGTGGAAATTCATCGAAATTCGACAGGCATTCATCGAATTCCGACAGACATTCATCGAATTTCGACAGAAATTCACTGGATTTGTGCACCGAAATTCACAGTGATTTCCTCTTGCCTGCGACGACGAACTGCGGACCGCCCGGCTGCGTGTCGTCGTGCAGCATGAGGGGCGAGCCGTCATCGCCCCTGCACGGACTGGCGCCCTTGCCGGTGTTGGTGCACACCTGGATGGTGGCGTTGATGTGCGTCTTGATATTGCAGGCGGAATCTGACACCTCAAACACACGTGCCTTCCTCTTCCTAGTGCTCAGGTACTCTGTAGGATGCAGTAAAGAGGTTATGAAAAGAGTCAAAATCGTCGTTTGTATTAACCTTACTTCAAGGGGGACATCACTCAAAATCCGTCAACAACTTATTTTCTTTTCCTTCCAAAAAATATATGTCTTTTGTTCTGGCTTCAATATGGCACGAGCCAAACATCTCGACACCTCAGGAAACCATAATAACTCGCCCGGGCGCTGGAAGACCATCCTAACTCTTCCGGGCACTGGGAGACTATCTTAACTGTAACACGAATCTTATCAAGTGAAGATAGTCTCGCAGCGCCCAGAAGAGTTAGGATAGATTTCTATCGCTCGGCCGCGAGGTAGGATACTTGTAAGTACTCTGGCGAGTTCAGACGCTTTCCTTAGGAGGGGCCGATCTGCTTAAGGTTAAAGTGCTGTTGCGCTCGTTGCACGTTTTTTTTTCGTAATTTAAATTTGGAGCTCGTTCCAAGGCCCCATGAAGCAAAATTTTAGCAACAGCAAAGAGATTTCGCTCAGATATTCCTCTGACAGACCACCATGGCCGGAAATAGAAGAAATTGTGTACCGCTATTACTTCTAGACCTATTTAATTTTTTTAACTCAAAAATTGCGTAAATGACTTTTTTTAAAAACAATTCAACTTTGCTTTTTGGGCCTGGAAAAATGGGAGTTAGTTCGTTCTAGTTCCGGCCATACTCAAATGTTTGAGGAATGCGGACACGAAATCTCGTAGTTGTTGCTCAAACGGCTCACCCGGTAGCTTTAGCACAGTGAAAAAGCGTCCTGCAGGACATTTCCACGATACGGTCGCTGATATCGGCCAAATGGTGCGCCAACAAAGTTCTTTGTTTGGTCAATCTCGATGTAGAATTACGAGACTTGCAAGTCATTCTGTCCACTTTTACTGGTCATTCGACGAAAACCTTGTATTCGCCCTGATGTCCCATTGGAAGACACTTGCCATTCCGAGTTGGTCCAGTTCTGCCCCAGCCTGCCACCCAGAGACGTTCGCCGACGTAGGACCTGTCAGTTGCATCGCTGGGTGCGGGCAGGCATATAGCTCTAAGCCAAGCTGCAAGCAAAGGAACGAAGTCTCTTACGAAGCATTCAATTTCAAATCAGGATGGTGGCAAACGCTGCTGTTTCCCATTTCGAAACATCTTATTGCGGTTGAAGTCCGTCTGGTACTGTGTATAAACCGAACACTTGACTGAACTCGTTTTGGGGTCGGAGAAATGCAGGTTGCGACATTTCTGAGTTGCAGTGCAATTTGCCTAGAATACATATCTTCACCTAAACCGCTAGTACGCTTCAACAAGATAATAACGAGGAAATTTAAAAATAATTTTTAATGTTTTTACTTTATTGTTAGAACTTTAATTTTGTTTTTAAATTTTTTTAGAATGGCCTATAAAGTTGATGCCTCGATCAGAAAAAGAAAGGTAAGGGCTTTTAACCTTTGCTATGGTCTCTATACAAAAAATACCAACTCCAGTACTCTTCAATTTTTCAGAGCAAGCTCCGTGACTCTCTGCACTGTACTCTGGGCCAAGCCGCGTACATGGCAACTCATTCTAAGTAATCGCGTCTATTGATTTTCCCAGTATATGACCCGTTTTATAATAGTTGTTTCGTCATTCTCCTAGGAATAGCAGCTTTTCCACTGGAAAGTGTTATCAAAATTGGAAACACCAGCGCTCAGCACTTGACTGATTTGTCAGAGAAGGATCCTTATCGAATAAGAAACGCCAGTTTGTTTTTTTAACGTAGTCTTACGATTATCGATGACTTCCACCTCTCTGGAAAGCCTGATCAAAGCGATGTCATGGTAGGGGTTAGCATTCTCCTTTCTGTACCCCGGATATGGAATGATCTCCTCCACGGTTATGTTTAATACATCATCGGAGCAAAACTTGAGATCATCGCAGTCCGGGTTCTGATTCAAGTCATGCTCGCCCAAGCGTACGAACTCACTGAAAGCACAGAAAGGTCTGCTCAAAATACTTTGTTATAACAAGCGGCTTTTCTCTTAAAGGCCTGAAATAGTTTGTAAGGTTTTCTCAGTGTGGCTCGGCTCCCCCATCTCCTTTTTTCACTGAAAAGTCGAGCTTTGCCGGTTTTGACTCAAAATATCTCAAAATTGGCTGAACGGCTTCCAACCTGATTTCAGCAGTGAAATGAAGGTATCTGAATTCTGTCACTTTCCTAGTCAAATCAAAATCGTAAATTCAGTTTCGGAACTGCACAAGTGGGCACACTGAGTAAAACATCACGAATCGCACAAGCTACTTTGTGTCTAAAGAAAACTTGGTGCGCATTCGTCCAGGGATCCGGCTTAACCTTGGTTGCTCAAATTATTTTTAGGGCCGATGCCCGTTTGCGCCGCGCCTACCTGGGTGACTTAGGGGGGCGAGAATAAATGCGTACGTGCAAGTGGCGGGATTGGCCCATTTGCGCCGGGTGGACGGCCGGCCGGCCAGCCAGCGGACAGACGGACGCGTGGCGGATCGAGCCGGTCAAGCCGAGCCGGTCAAGCCGAGCAGAGCGAGAGCGAGCGCGCCGATCAGCGTCAGTCTTCGGCTGAAGCGAGGGCTGAAGTTCCGTTGTGGTGACAGTGCAGTTTGGTGACAGTTTGTTTGTTTTTATATTTTTGCTCGATAAATGGCTGGATCAATGACTCTAACGCAACAAGCAAAGGGAGGCGAGTGCGAGCGAGTGCCTCATAGTCAATCAATTCAAATATCGGTGATTGTGTGTGTGTGTGTGTGTGTGCGAGAGAGAGAGAGAGAGAGAGAGAGAGAGAGAGAGAGAGACTGTGCTCGCTGTGTTGCAGGTGTTTGGTATGTACGATTGTCTTGTTTATGTTGGAAGTGACTTGATCTTAGGGCCTAACACCAGCAGGGTAGGCAACCAGCGTGGCAGCTCGGCGCAAATGGGCATTTGTTGGGTGGCCCCGACCCCCTGAATCAAGAGCACTTATTGACCGGCCCCGGCGCAAATGGTCACTTTCGTGAGCCACTCAGGTAGACGCGGCGCAAACGGGATGCGCCCATTTTTAGGGGTTCCGACGAAGGAGGACCCCTATTGCTCGGGACGGCTCAGAATTCTTCTTCTACGGACCCCCGAGAATAGACATTTCGCTCCCGCCATATTAATCCTTTTCATAATACAATAAAAAGTCCAGAAAATCTAAAAAATTTATCGTGGAAATTTTCCGTAAACGACTAAAACATAAATTTGCAACAATCAAGCACCCTTATCCGTTTACATTTTCCAGAAACGTTTCGAAGGAAAAATGTGCCACTCCTCCAAACTAAACCTCCTGCCTCATCAAAGTGACAAGAAATCGTCTGTCTTCTGAGAAAATGGGTAAAACATGAAGAAAAAATCTCCATGACAACGACATGGTGCCATCGTACCAACTGTCAAAATTTAAAGTCGCTGATAAAAAGAAATGAAAACGCCGTAAAATTCGAAAATGCCAATGCTCACTCATTGCACGGTGACCCGACATTAAAACATCTTTGAAGTCTGTCATTAGTCATTAGTTCGTAACAGAAAAGACGCAATGAATTAATTTTCGGGGGTTGGCATCAATTTTCTCGGCGTCTGCGCCCTTTCGAAAATCGTGAGGCTGAAAAAACGAGTAGTCGCGCATTGAAACTGCCCCTCCATTGTTGCTGAGGTTGGATTGTTTGGCTTGCTTTTAAAGGCTGCGGTTCTATTCTCATGTTTTCCTCAATTCTGTAAGCAGCACGACGGTTGGTTTGACAAACTTTTTTAACTCGGGAGGGGTGTTTTCGGAACGCGGATGACTTTCGTTTGACGAACATGAGCACTGTAAATCGCGAGATGGTGAGATAGACTGAGATGGTCATTGTGTTAACTGAATCACTTTTGGGGATGTAAAAATACCGGTAGAATTCAAAGTTACGTAAATAACGGTAAAATTAACGTAATTAACGTTTAAATGACAGATTTCAAAATGATTTCCACAACCGGAACACCGTGCACTGCGTAAGCATTGGAATTTTTTTTTCTGTTAAATTTCAGAAACGAATATTGAACAGGGCTTACACGGAAGTGTCCTGGACGCAGTGAGCTGCAGTAAGTACGTAGCGCTTACTGATGAGTGCACCGCCACAGTGTGCGTAAACCTTGCCTCTACCTGAAACAAACCCAACAGAAAGAGTTCAAATAATTAACAGCAATAAATGAAACTTCAAAATTTGAAGCTAAAGGACATTGACGTTGAATTTCCGAGGGAATTTGGAGGGCCTTTTTTCGACCCATCCCATAAAATTGTACAGTTAAAGGGGGGACCCTGGTGAAACTGTCTAGTAAGCTTTAAGGGGAGGTTCTGGTGAAAATCTTGCCATTTTCCAAATTGATCCTACAGTCATAATTTGTTCGGAATATAAAATTTTTCATTGAGGAGACTAAAATTTGACTTTTGAAGGCACATGCCAGGCTGTAAACCCAGTCGAAGAGTCTTTTTGAGCCTATTTTGGCTGTATCTTAAAAAATCTCCTTGCGCATACTATTTTGTCGTAAAAGGTTGACCTTGACATTTTTCACTTCTTCGACTCATTTTCAAAAGATTCCGGCATGCATAGCTCAAAACTTCCATTATATTATTAATTATTAGCTTTTTAAGCTGAAAAGTCCCTAAAATTTGTCTATTTTGTACATTTTTGATCAATTATAGTGTAATGCTTGGTTAGAAAGCTTGCGAATAAAAATGCAATTGACATTTCGATATGTGCATGCCGGCATTTTTAAAAAATTCCAATGCTAACGCATTGCACGGTGTTCCGGTTGTAGGAATCAATTTGAAGTCTGTCGTCTAAACGTTAATCACGTTAATTTTACCGTTATTTACGTAACTTTGAATCCTACCGGTATTTTTACATCCCCAAACCTGATTCAGTTAACACAATGACCATCTCAGTCCATCTCGCGATCTCGCGATTTACAGTGCTCATGTTCGTCAAACGAAAGTCATCCGCGTTCCGAAAACACCCCTCCCGAGTTAAAAAAGTTTGTCAAACCAACCGTCGTGCTGCTTACAGAATTGAGGAAAACATGAGAATAGAACCGCAGCCTTTAAAAGCAAGCCAAACAATCCAACCTCAGCAACAATGTAGGGGCAGTTTCAATGCGCGACTACTCGTGTTTTCAGCCTCGCGATTTTCGAAAGGGCGCAGACGCCGAGAAAATTGTTGCCAACCCCCGAAAATTAATTTATTGCGTCTTTTCTGCTACGAACTTTTTACTGACAGACTTCAAAGATGTTCCAATGTCGGGACACCGTGCGATGCGTTAGCATTGGCATTTTCGAATTTCACGGCGTTTTTATTTCTTTTTATCAGCGACTTTAAATTTTGACAGTTGGTACGATGGCACCGTGTCGTTGCCATAGAGACTATTTTTTCATGTTTTAACCATTTTCTCAGAACACAGACGATTTCTTGTCACTTTCATGAGGCAGGAGGTTTAGTTTTAAAGAGTGGCACATTTTCTCTTTGAAACGTTTCTGGAAAATGTGAACGGATAAGGGTGCTTGATTGTTGCAAATTTATGTTTTAGTCGTTCACGTTAAATTCTCACGATAAATTTTTGAAATTTTCAGGAATTTTTATTTGATTATGATGACGAGTAATTTGGCGGGATCCATTTTCCAATCACAAGATACCGGAAAAAAAATAAGAATCTGAGCCGTCCCGGGCAATAGGGGTCCTCCTTCGTCGGAACCCCTAAAAATGAATCGAAGAAGTGAAAAATGTCTAAGCCAACCTTTTACAACAAAGGAGTATGCGCAAGAAGATTTTTAAAGTTATAGCCTAAATGGGAGAAAAAGGCTCTGCGACTGGGTTCAGGGCATAGAATGAGTCTCCGCAATGAAAAATTTTAATAGATACTTGATAAGACATGAAATTTTTAACAAATTTTCACAGTGGGACCTATTTAGGAGAAAATAGCATTTTCACCAGAACCTTCCCTTAAAATAATTCCCAGAAAGTTGAAACTTTGCTCAAAGGTGTTAAACCTGTTGAATCATAAACCTTCTGTGCACATTTTTATATATGAACTTTGAAAATACTATTTTTGGCTATTTTGGCCAATTTTTAACCAGGGTCCTCCCTTGAGAAAGGGGATGAAGTATTTAATTTGACTCCACTTCAAAACCAGCCCACACAGACAAGGTAGGTTTACGCCAGACCGCGTCTTGTCGTAACAGGCTTCGCGATATCTCGCTGCCTGTTCCTCCAATCCGCGCCTGGCGTACCTACCTTGGCCTGCGGCGCTAGCCTGCCTTCGGCCAGGCAATGGCTTCTCCATCGTCGGTTTTCCAAACTTGTTGCGTGCTGGGGGGGCTCCCTCCTAGGTAGAGTTGCTTCATCTGCAGATAACTCGATCTTGACACTTGTAACTGTTTAACTTGTCGGGGCTGGGGGGCTCCGCCCCCCAGACCCCCCCCTCCTTCGAGACAGAGGTGATCTGCCTGAAGAAAACTCGAATTTTCGCCGTTTTTTATGTGTTTTTCGGCTATAAAAACTGAACCAGTTGAGCTAGGATAGTGAATTTTCGCGTGTGCCGAGCCAAGGACATACCCAAAAAGTGTGCAAAATCTCATTGAGATCGGCCGAGCCGTTCAAGAGGAGTAGTGCGGACAGACAGACAGACCGACAGACAGACAGACCGACAGACAGACAGACAGACAGAACGACAAACAGACAAAACTTTCCAACCCCACTGGAGTAACAGGCTTCGCTATCGCTCAGCCAATAAATTCCTATAATGAACGGCTCCTTGTAATACGAAGAAAACGGCGGCTTTGAAGCCTGCGAAGGAAATCGTTTCTAATACAAACGATTTTCTTCGTAATACAAAGGAAAAATCGATCGCAGGCTGCGAAGAAGTTCTTCGTAGGCTACGAAAAAAATTTCCTTTGTATTGCAAAGAAAATTGTTCGCTTTACAAACGATTTCCTTCGCAGGCTGCGAAGGCGGCGTTTTCTTCGTATTACAGAGAGCAGTTCTTTCTAGAGTTTTAATTAAGAAGCCCTAAAATTCTGCCGCACTTCGGTAGGGCACTACTCGGAAACTGTCGTAAGCCGCATCGATGAATTTTTCAAGTTATAGTCACCCACTTACTGTTCCGATGCATGAGCAGCGCGACCCAGCGAAAGTCCGTCAGGGCCGCCTCATCCCCTCCGTACATCATCATTCCCATTTGCCGGCCGCATTCTTCGCCAGGGAGGAGCGTGGCGTTGGTGTAGCTGTCCTCCGCGCCTAGAGCTGCAGTCATTAATTCCGTTGCGTCGTCGTGCTTGGCAGGCCACAAGCACAGCAGTGTGACGACCACGGTGGCGGCGATGGTGGAAGCAACGGCCAGGGACATGTTTAACGAGGGACTCCTGCCAGTCGGTACGAATACTGCAGCTAGTCCTGCCAATAAGAGACATAATATGTCATAACGAGGGGCCCACCTCTCTTATGTTAGTTGTACTCAAGATTGCGGGATCACAGAATTTTTACTGGGGATTCCGCATGAAAATGTGGAAGGTTTGTTCAACAACTTCGTAGCAGCACAATATTTTATCAGGGATTACGTGAGTTCGGCATAACCGGAGATTACCAGTCAACTTGCACACAGGATTGGCACAGTGGTGGCCCCCTCGTGTCTAAAAGTGAGCTGTGGATGAGTCCGCTTTGAGCAAGTTGCATACTAGTCAGATGGCATTAAAACGAGGGCCGTTTCATCAGATAGAACAGTCAAGTCTGATAAGAAAACACGTTTACTTCGGGTTCTTAAATTCATTTAAATGACAAATATCACTCAAGAGGTCTTTTGGAAAACGAAAAGCCTGCCTATTTTAACCATTCTCCCTGCATGAATGGTAGCTTAAATACACTGAAATTCCAAACGCTATGAGTATAGCACGTATGGTGCAATGCAGCTGAGATATCGCACCATACGTGCAATGCCGTAGCCATATTGCACCTTACGTGCAATGCTTCCCGAAAATGCCCTATGCTAATTGCATGGGAATGGAGAGGCATTGCACTTCATGTGCAATGCTTTTGCATTGCACCAATTGACGCTATACTCATAGCGTTTGGATTCTCAGTGTATCAGTACACACTGCAAGAAAGAGTGTTAATAGTACAACAAAAGTACAACGAAAACCGAAAAAAAAGTACGAAAGGGCATTGCAGAAACCATATGGCATTGTACAACGAGAATCCTACTAACTACTACGAGGCCCTACTTCGAACAACAGAGATTGTACTTTCAAAGAACAGTTAATTGCAGATAAATGGCCAAGAATTTTTGTAGGTTTGATCAACCAGGTTCTTTCTAGCAGTGCAGTTTTGAGTTTGCCCAAAGACGGCCACCTCTTGCTCAGTGAAGGCCAGTGCCCTGCCCAGTGTAGGCAACACGAGGGTTTGAGAGAATGGTTGGTTGGTTTCGTCTTTGACGGTAATTTTATTGTAAAAGAAAAGTAAAAAATTCCAAATTTGCGACAGAAACGATGTGATTACTGATGATTCACTTCAAACCTCCCTACTACTAAGTACTAGTCTACTAAGTACACACTAAAATGCATGCTTGGCAAGTGCACACACAAACGCCTATGCTTAGCATGGAGCTATACGGCGCCAAGCATGCGTTTGTAACTGTGTACTTGGCGAAGCATGCGTTTGTAAGTGTGCCCTAAGTAGACACTTAGGTTTGTAGTGTACTTAATTTTGGGCAAGTTACACTTTCTCACCCAAATTTGAGTGAGACGGTGGGTGCTGAAGTTGTGTGCGAAAACGGCGGGCTGTACGAGGGTCATCTTGGTGTCTACTGATGCCACTAAGGCTACACTCAGGTCGACCAAACGAGATTTATCTTGTAAATTTGAAGGCTGCCAAAAACGGCGTCCACGCGCGGAATGGCCCGGTCACGGCCATGATCTTGTACGGCCAGACAATGATTCCCTTACAGGCGAGCGTCGTATGCTATCATGTTTTTATCGTGGGGTCAACAAAGAGCACGTGTGGTCTCGTGACGAGGGGGCAACCATTCGCGATATCCTGTGTGCACTTGAATGACCGAAGTCTGGCGCGAAATCGGTAGAAATCTCGTGAAATACCTTCGACATCTGGCGAAATCTCGCGAACTCCCATTAAAATCAGGTGGAATTCAGCGAAATCTCATCAAAATCTCGGCGAAATCCCTATTTTTGAAGATTCCTGTGTCCAAAAAAATTCAATTGGTTGCCCCCTTGCCTCTTGAGCAAGTACTAAATGCTTAACCCAGGTTCTGCAGCGTGACTAGCATGACAGGACTAGACAACAGGATTAATCGTTTCCTGAGAAGTAAGAAAGAAAAGTGGCGATACACTGACTTCAGCAACTTTGGCCCGTCCCTTACACTCTCAACATCTTATGATCGTTTTTATACGTATTACGATGGTTTTTCATCGTAAGGTACGCATAAATTTGCACATACGTAATATGCATAGATTTCAGCGTAAGGTATGCATGATTTAATCGTATTACGCATGGTTTCTTCATAAGGTACGCATGATTTCATCGTATTACGCATGAATTTCATTGTAGTACGTATGTTCTCATTTCAACGTAAGTTATGATGACCCTTTCATCATAAGAATCTGAGGGTGTACATTTCGCACATTCGAAGTAGCTGTTCGCATTTAACGGCAATGTTATGGGCTGTGTCTTAATGGATGTGATTTACATCCTTCATAACACATTTTCATTAGGATAACGTAGAAAAAAATGTGGTTGATGGTTGCCACTTTAATTATTTTTGTTTTCATCTTTAAAAGTTGCGTGATAAATCCAGAGAAAACTGCGCCGTCTTCATATAGGTATTCTGTTTAGATTCAGCAACAACTTTGCATCGTGTAGGGCTATGATTGACTCCACTCTCACCAAGGTTCCACCGGTGGTCTTGTCAGCCACGTCAAGCCTTAAAACTACTTCTTGCATGCCCTCCTGTCGGGATTATTTTTTACTTGTTTACAAAACTTTTGATCTATCAATCAAACTGCTGTCAAATTTCAAGGGTGCTCTGCTGTACTTATGCATGTTTATCACTAGAGGGTATGACAGTCTTCTTCTCCCAAAAGTCAACCACCCACACCCACCCCCTCCCGAGCCATCTTCATGTTCAGTGTCTCAGGGTTCCCAGAGCTGTCGCCCTTGGGTAAATTGTATTTTTCTAAATCGTATTGTTTTTCAGGTCACTGATGGTGTGTATGCCTTGGCTTTCTATTGAAAACCTTCTCATGATCTAGCTAGAAGTAAAACAACCCATTTAGCACTACGGTTGCTGCTATCAATCTACGGGTGGACGAAGAAAATTCTGGATGTTTTGTCTACTTCCATGTTTAACGATTTGAAACTTATATAATAACAAGAAACCTTTTGGCTCTGAAACGTCGTTTTGAGTTTTCTTCTTCGTCTTGACCTCCACGCGGGCTCCGTCATGGTGTCCTGGAACATCCTCGTCCGTGCTGGGCAGGAACACGGCGTCGTGGAGCTGGACAGCTTGTCCGTTCGCCTCGCACTTGGCACAGTTCCTTATGATGGAGACGTGGCCGTGGAAGTGCGTGCTGTTCCCGATGTGCACCTGGCTCGACTTCTCAATCGCAATGCCGCCATCGATAACCACGTTCGACTCCGGCACGCCGGGGCTTGGCTCCAAGTCTTTGGCCTCGAGCGAGCTGCTGCTGCTGCAGGAGTCGCTCCACACACTGGCGTCATCACCTGGTCCGTCCAAGACACAGTCCACCACTGAAACTCCCTGCTCGGGCACCACAGAGCGGTCCCCGCACGGCGGAGGGATTGCCGCGGCTGGACTGGCTGTGGCCGGGCTGGACACAACCATCATTTGTGCCCGAGCAAGCGCGCGGTGTTTTCACGACACTGTCCGGCAGGCGCGCATGGCTCGCTCACGAACAACAGCGGCCCGCCCGCAGGCTTACGATATATTGAAACGACTGACCCGCTCAGCCGGACTCTAAAGGCAGGCCGGGAACCTTATCGTCTTGCCCCCACTCCACTTTTTAGAAGATGATGTCAATCAGCAATCTTTGACTCTCTTGGCGTTGCGTTTCTGCCGCTGCACAGTAAGGTCATATGACCTTACTGCACAGTGGGCCAGAAGACCGGTGGAGGCGGCCAAAACCCTAGACGCGTTTTGAGCTCCAGAGTCGCTAAACAGGCCTGAACCGAACGTGTGACCCCACCTATGGATTCCTCGTTCGGAGAGCAATCCATTGGTGGGGCCACACGTTTGATTCAAGTCCCATTCAGCGACTCTGGAGCTCAAAGCACGTATAGAGTTTTGGCCGGCTCCACCGGTCTTCTGGCGCTGTTGCAGTTGAAGAGGAGTTTGGGAAACTTAGAAGTCGAGGGGTACCATTCAATAGATCTTATCTGGGCGCTCCTATTCAAAGATTCTTGTCCGCAACGCAAGCGAATTTCACCAAGTTTGATCATTTAAGACAGCTACTAATCAAAATATTTTGTGATTTAAGTCACACACACTTGAAGATGATAGACCAGAGAGACCAATAGTGCGCGCAGAAATTCCGTTTACCCTCTAATCCTGGTCAAACTTGATAAAATTCACGAGCGTTGAAGATACGATTTTTATAGGACCCCTCGAAGTGAGGAAAATTTTTGAGGTGGTGTGTGAACCGGCAATATTAAAAGTTGACTTGAATCGACTCGATTCTTTTTATTTCTTGCGCCCGAATCGAATGTCCCCATTTTTAATCCAATTCGAATCGCAGTAAGGTAAAAAATCAATTGTGGGTCACATTTTTGAAAATTCCAAATTAAGGCCTTTAATTCTGACCTGGTGACAAAAGTGCATGTGCGGCCTTAACTATGGTCCTTGGACTAAGTTTTGCAGCATAGTAGCCCTGTCTGTCATCCTTATTTACTAAGCTGTGGCTGTTTTAAAAATAGTCTGTTTTGGCCCACAATTGATTTTTGGAACCAGTTGTGGGTCAGCATTGTAGGAAGCTCAAATTTGGATATGATTTGCTTAAATGCGAGAGAAATTCACTTCTGAATTTGTTTTTCGGAATCGTGAAAACTGCAGGATATGTAGGACAATGAATCAATTGTGGGTCACATCAATTGTGGGCCATTTCGTCTTTTTGCTTGTAAATTGACCACTTTTGCAAGATATTTTCTTATTTTCATTAATTAAAGGTCCCTGGTTCTCAATAAACCAAGCAGACACGTTTTTCACTCAAAAAGGAAAAATACATTAACAGGCTAATTTCACTATGAGACAGATGTGAGTTAAACGTCCTGGATTAGAGACGAAACTTTTAAAGTGCATATTGTAGGGCCGCCGGTGTGGTAGACAATCCAACACCACACTCTGTCATCATGAGGTATTGCTATTGTTTATTATCTATTTCAGTCAGAATATATAGTCTTTAGGGATTTATTTGACTCCTTATAACAGGGCCGGACTGGCCTCGGGTGCCTAGCCCGCAGTTGGAGAGCGGTTCCCTTCCGGGAGCTATGTAAGCCCCGAAATGCCCCCCCCCTCCCCAACAAAAAAGCCTGATGGCGGACTGGAAGTAAGAGCTAGCGTTGTAATTCGGGGCTGTAGCTTAACATAACCTTCGTATCGTAATACTAAATGTGACAGAGCACAAAAATGGAATTTACTGGGATACATCAGTCATTCAGAAGCGCAGCAAACAAAAAATAGCAGAAAAACTACCGGAAAATTTGTTTAAAATAATGGATCTGACATGGAAGCGAACGCTTCTTTGCCATCACCCGCGCACCATGGCATCGAATGATTTCGGCTGTACTATGGTAAATTTATGTTCCCTGACCTACTATGAACCTAAATCAGCAAGGGCGTCCCGTTTTATCTCGTAATAGCTTCACGGTGGCAATTTGAAAAACATACGATTTTTCGCCTCGTTGGATGGGCGCCATTTTCTCGACATTTTGGAGGGCCTTCCTTTGAAGCCTAATAGGAGCCGTTACAGTCGTCGCTCGGACATACACGCTATTTGGGAAGACAAAGAAAGGTTGAAGGAAGGTCTACCGCGAAATTCAAATCGATTCAATCTCCGTCGGGTCTGCGGTGACCCGTCGAAAAAAATGACCCACAATTGATTCGTGACCCACAATTGATTTTTTACCTTAGTCAATTTGCTTCAATGTCGCCCCACCCTTAGATAACGGCCTAAAAAGCAGACTAAAACTAACACTTCACGCCTGTGTATATGCAACAAAAAGTGATACTCTGCCCCTCCCCATGTCAACTCTGAGTCCGCCTCTGGGATTGTCTTGCAATAAAGGTTCTTCAACTTGTAACTTAGTGCCTTCGCCTGCACTGCAGTCTGGCGACGTGGTCAGTCGTAGCTGTAAACACAAGAAATTTTTCACAAAGTTAAGTGATTGGCTGAGTAAAGGAAGCGTGAAGAAACTCCACCGTGAAACCAAACGTGGACAACTCTACACTTCCTGGTGTGGAGTAAGTCTCCACACATAAAAGTGCAGAGTTTGCAGTCTCCACACTTGAAGTGTGCGATACCTCACTCACTCTTAGCGTAGTACAAACGTGGACAACTCCACGTTTGAAGTGTGGAGACTGAAACTTCCACTCCTCCGCATTTCAAATGTGAAGTTCTCCGCGTTTGGTTTCAGTGTTCGCTAACGCACAAAATGTCATCCTGAGCGGAGGAATCACTTTATCACCAAATCACAACACTGCAATCCCAGTGGTAAGTTTACTTGCCACGGATTTGGCAAGCCGTTTTGAATGCCAAAAATTGGCAAGCTTGGCCCGGATATACTCCCCAGCTTGCCAAAATTTGGCAAGCTTCACCCGGAAATACTGCCAAAATTTGGCAAGCTTATGAAGAGTGCCAACCAAAGCTTGCCAAATTTTGGCATTCAAAACGGCTGCCAAATTTGTGGCAAGCAAACTTACCACTGGCTTTGCAGTGAAGCTAGGCTAGTGCCAAAAAGACTCTTGGAGTGCAGAAATGGACTGCACACGAATGAGGGAAAGGGAAAAGGGAGAAAAGGGGGGGGGGGGAGGGAGAGGAGTGGACACGAAGACGACATCCACGCGTAGAATCATCCGCACACTTCCGTTTATTGAGCAACAGTTTCTATTTTATTGTTTCTGCTCGAGGGGCAACCACATCCTAAATAGCCAACATGGGACTGCCATCGAATGACTTTTGGCCATCACCTTCTAAACCACTGATACTGTTAATATACGTACAACAGAGGCCGCGGTATTCTGACGAAGCCACCGTTCCGTCGAGACATGTTGGTGACCCAGCCCTATAAGGAGAGCGACCGCGAACGTTTCCAGCAGGCCCGTAGTTGCAGACATGGACTTTAGTGTATCCTTTCATCTGGTCGTGGAAGTAGGCATAACCACAGCCAACCAGATGGGAGTCCGCCCAAACAAGCTAGAGACAAAAAAAAAGTCAACGTTAAGCGTTAAGGTAGGTTTACGAAAGGGCACAGTTAGCATAGCTAGCAGTCGACAACGAGTCGAGAAACGAATGTCTCACCAAAATATGGTAATAATTGCAACCCCACTCTATTGGATACTGGGTAATATATCCCAGTTAATTACTGCCATATTTTGGCGAGACATTTGTTGCCAAAAAATGGTGAGACTTTTGTTTCTCGCCAAAAAAATGGTGAGACTTTTTCTTCTCGCCACAGAATGGCGAGACTTTTTTGTCTCACCAAATTTTGGCCATGAGTCTCGCCATTCAATTTTCAGTGAAGGTAAAAAAATTGAAGTAACTTGTCCCATCCCTGACGTCTCATTACCTGAGTGTAGTGGCCTGTAGCACGGTTGATGCGAGAGCGGCCGAAGATGAACTGGTTCACCTCCTCAAACCAACGAGGAATCGTTTCGGCGAAATCGGAAGAAGAGCTAAAATATTGAGACTCGGAGAAAGTTTGTCCAATATTTTGACCAACATGAAACCGACCTACAAAAATAAGACAGATGCGGAAACTCAGGTGAATCCGCTTGAAACGAGTGCATGATTTCCTTGTAGAGTTCAATGATAAGATAACGCAGACATTTGGAAAATTGAATCAGTGCGGGGTGCCTTTGAAGTTAGAGCGGTGAGATAAATTTTGTTTTAATCCTCATAAAATATTCTGAACAGAGACAGAAGTTAATTTGTGTACGGCTCACCAGTTAGTTTAATATAGTAAAAATTTTCAGGTTTCAAAACACATGAAAATTTTGGGTTATTATCTTTTATAATCCCAGGCAGCTATTAAAACAAATAAGACATTCAATGCCACTTTTTTAAATGATCCAGGAAGCGGAAGAAGGGGATAACTCAATTTTGACCATTTTTCAGGAGAAACAAAAATCTGTTAGCAGGGAAAAGTAAGACAAAACAAATGAATGTTGCAAATGTTAATTATTTCAAAAAGCATTAGTAGAATTTTGGAAAAAAATCCAAAGTGTAAGGTCACTCCGTAGAGGATTTCTGCAACTTATCACTTTCCGTTGAAATGGAAAACAGAGTCAGTTCGCCTTATATTTCCTAAACTAAGAGGAATTTGGAGACAAGTCAAGTGGAACAATAGTATGCATAAAGTGTATGTTGCTCTGGTGTATTTTTTGGACTTAGCTCTTTTTTCCAAATTGAAATTTAAAATTAAGGGGGGGTTAAGTTGAGTTGATTCTTTATACACAAGATTCATAAAAACACAAGTTGAGTTATATCCTTTTGCCAATTTGTCAAACGGACTCATGTAGACTAAAGTTGAGTTATCTCCATTTTCCAATGAAATTTAGACTGTAAAAGTGGTTAAGTTGAGTTATACCCTTTTTCCATGTGGATTTTCTCCTAAACTGCTTCGAATTCAGTCAAATAATTTGGTGTAATGATGTAAACCATTCTAAGGCACAATAATAAAATAAAAACTCAATTTGGGGATAAGTCAAGTTATTCCCTTCTTCCGCTTCCTGGATCAAATATTGATGATTTTAAGCTTCATCCGATCACACTACATTTAAAGATACCCCGCACTCTAAACCAGTTAGGTTAAATGTAAAAGTTCTGTTAAGGAGAATTCAGAAGAAACGAGTGACTGCATGTCTCAAACTGTTAGGAGTTGGGGATCGTAACTGTGGGTTCAAATTCATCCTACAGTTAGTATCTTTGGAAAAGAAAAAACCGCTGCTACAAATATTTTAACAAGTATCCCAGGCAGGAATGTGACATCACGTTGAAACGAATGCGTGACAAAATGTCTCATTCCTTTAGGCGCTACGTCTACTTGATTAAATAAGATGAGAACATCCAAACAAATGTGACTCAATGCTCAAAGGGACGTGATATTTACACCGGTGGGAAAACCAGGTAACCGTTGTTACCCTGTCGTCACGTGTTTTTCAACGTGATGTCACGTTCCTGGAATGAGAGTGTAGTAGCTTCGGCTCAGATGGTCACAATTGCAATGCACTGTTGCATGTGTTCTACTCACGGTCTTGATGAAAGTGGCCGTGGTCGTCTGGGCAGGATTCGGCCCACCGCTGGGCGTCCCGCGCCAACTCATTGTCCCAAGTCTGCCGAAAGCGGAACAAGTTGCAGCAAAATTTTAGGGAAATCTGTGACTTGACCAGGGTGGGTAATGCCCGAAACGTACAACTTTGTGACGAACGCTTGTTCCGAGAAGTCCTCAAAGCTGACAAAGATATGTACGTTTGTAGGTGTAACAGTAAGGGGGAGTGGGGCGATTTCTGGTTTCGAGCAACATGCGTGCCATCAGGCGCGGATACAGGGGGAGGGGGGGCAATGGGGTTTTTGCCCCCACCATAGCCCCTTGATAGCCGCCTGAAAGGTAGGCAAAGAGTGCTACTCAGCCCCTGTGAGTATAGGCAAAAAGTGCGACTTTGTCCCCCCCCCAATAGGCCGCCTCTGGATCTACCACTGCGTGCCATAGGGTGAAAGTGGGAAGGGCAGAAACACTGATCGCTTCACACCCAACCACCTCTCCTACAAATCCGCAAGGCTTGCTGGCTGCTAGCTGGGCGGGGACGTGAGCCGGACGACCCAATCCGGTATTATAATCCGCCGGCTCGGGACCCATTGCTCCTCGCCCGCCCGGCCACTACCTCCGCCGAGCACTTCACCTTGACCTTGGCAAGAAGGTGGGGCGACCGTGCCACACTTTCATCGAGGGGCTTGAGGGCCACTTCGCTAGGCTCCCAGCAACCCCACAGGGATGTTTGGCTCTGGCTGCGGACAAGAGGGCCTTCGCGGCCTACGTGGACTCGGTCCAGGAGGGCTACAGTTCAACAGAGGACGGACGAGACGAGCACGACAATGACGGACGACAGCTGATTGTGGCTAGCTCTTCGGATGAAGAGTAGAAGTGCACATGCTTGGCTTGTAGGTGTTGGGCTGCTTTAATTATTTTTGTGTATGACAAGTGAAGTGCTGGCGACACCCTGTAATTCCACAACTAACCATTCTCTCCGACTGGGGTGGGGGTAGGTGGCCGGGGCCGGGGTCGCGCGATGGCGGCGCACTGGCACACTGTTGTTGTTTGTTTACCTGTAGCACACACTGCTTGCCTCCTGACTAACCAGAATGGGTCATCTCCAAAGTGGCGCGATCGACCTCTCCGATTCCTTGTCTGACGATTCTTCTGGTGAATACCATACCTCATTACCTCCTTTGTGGTGCAGCTCCCACACCCTGACACTTGATCCATGAAGCGGAAGAAGGGGATATCTCAATTTTCATCATTTCTCAGGGGGAAACAAAAAACTGTTTGCAGGGGAAATTAAATCCATTCAGATGAATGATGTAATTGCATTTTTGTCAAAAAAGCATCAGTAATAACTAAAAATTTTCAAAAGTGTAAAAATTACTCTCTAGACGGTTTCTGTGATTTAAATCTTGACGTTAGAATGAACTAAAGAACCATGTTTACTTAGTTCTCCCAAACGAGATGGAATATGGAGACAACTCAGACACAAGTTGATTTATCTCCTTTTGCTATTATGTGAAACGGAGTCATGACACTGTGGCAAAAAGCTACGGAAAATTCTGTAAACAGCTGTGGTAATTCTCCGTAGGCCCCTTATCAATATTCTCCGTAGCTCTTACAGTATTTTGTAGGACGCACAGTATTCTCGTAGGACCGCACAGTGATCTCCGTAGGACTATACAGTCTTCGAGGTCCTACGGAGAACACTGTGCGGATTTACAGAGAATACTGTGCGGCTACGAGGAATACTGTGAGCCTACGGAGATATTATAAGAGGGCTACGGAGAATCCTGCCAAAAAAATTAACAGGATTTTCCGTACCTTTTTGCCACAGTGGAGGACATCGGTTGAGTTGACTCCATTTTCCGATGAAATTGAGTCCGAAATAAGGGTCAAGTTGAGTTGTATCCATTTTCCATGTGGATTTTCTCCTAAACTACTGGGAATTGAGTCAAATAATTTGGCGTAAAGATGCAAACTATCCTGAGGCACAATAATAAGATAAAAAATCAATTTGGAGATAAGTCAACTCACTCCCTTCTTCCGCTTCATGGATCACTTGGCCTGTCCTCAGACTCTCCACGGTATTCGTCCGGAGCCGGTTCGTGGCGGGATCACGAATACCAAGAATGGGTGGCTGAGGAGACCGCTGAGCTCGACTACACCATAAATCGCTCAGGGCAGGACACAGTCCATCAGTCTATCCTTGAGGAAGAAGAGCGAGAGGGTATGCGCTCTCTGAACCTGTGTACCGACTATAACGCTATTACGCTCTATTACGCCACAAATTAATCGGAATTTAGCTAAAAACGGCCTAAAACACACCAAAATTGATAAAATTTTGACAATTTCGGCTATTACGCGACTATTACGCGTATTATTACGCGTGCTATTACAGATAGAGTGAACCGACTATTACGCGAGTGCATACCCCCTCGAAGAAGAGGATCGTGATCAAGCCCTGCGGGAGTTCTACCAGCTCCAAGACCTTAACTCCTGGATTGATCTTCAGCTCTCCGATAGTAAATAAAGGTGTCAATCATGTCCTTGTATCTAGTCAGTGAACAAAAGCAACCAGCAAACAAGCAGACACTCATAATTATTAGCATGGCATGCAATAGGCGCAAACCTTCACCACTACCCCTGGTCAGGCGTTAGCAACTATTGCGAACAATAGCCCAGGGCAGACGTGGACTTAAAGCCCGAACGTCCCTGACCTCACCTTGGAGGGGGTCGGGCACAGCGCATGCGGTGAGAGATAAATGAATTAATGCAGGTATGGCGAAGCGAAAGCACTGTTGGCGGCACCCTACGGTGTCTAACACAACCCCACCCCCAACAGTAAGGGGGAGTGGGGCGATTCGTAATAAATGCGTTTATTAATTTAAGAGGAGGGTTCAAAAGAAAACATGAGTATGGTTCCTCTTTCGCTTAAGGTAGAGGGTCCTTGAACAATCGAAGCGGATGTGATCGGTGCTCAGGGAAAGTTTTGGAGAGAGTCTGAAATATAGAGTTCACCGAGACGAGGCAATCTTAAATTTTGAGTTCTAGGAAGTTTCTGCCTGAGGCTCCCCAGGTATGAATCACCATCGAAGTACCGTTGGAGCCTTGAAGCGTGACCCCTTTACAACGTAACCACATGCCGTTAGTTGCCCTAACTTTGTCCAGTGATGGTTAGGGACGTACTTTTGGCGCAACAGGCATTGGGGGTGATTCGTATCATAAGAATTCAAGTAGTTTATGTAATTAAATGCTTGAATTATTTCTCGAATCATCTGCTGCCTTATTTTAATACATTTACAAAGCACAAAATGCTTTTTACTGGGGCTCATACATGTTAAAAGCACTTCACATGTTTTTCACAGAAAAAGGGTACTCTCTCTTTCTAAAATGACTTCCGTAGAAATCAGAAAATTCGAAAACCTTCCATATACGACTTGATACCGAAATCAGCAGACGTCTCCCTCTAAACGACCAGCCTCCGGGAAGCAGAATCCGAGTGCTTACCATTTCTTTCATGTTTGTAGCTCCAGGCTGATCCGCGACGTTTCCATTCGCGACCTTCTGTCGAAGTTTGTTGTGCGCAGCGAGAATTTTCTCTTTCACTCTGCAGCTGACCCCTGAGCTTATGAGTCGCTTCCCAGGTTCTGAACAGGCAGACACCAATGAGAACAAGGATAAGCACATCCAGAGCGCTGCACAAAGCACTGGTTTCATGGTTAGTTACGTTTGCTTCTGAGTAGGTATGGACGCGTTTCGCCGGTGATGAAGCCAAAAGCGGGGAGGGCTGCCCGCAGCGCGGGGATTCCCGGGCACAATCGCTGGCTGAGCCGGCCCTCCCTCCCCTCCCCAAACCACCGCCACGGAAGAATGCCACCAATCACTGCGTGAGGCAAGTTGTATGACGTAGTGTGGCGTACCGTTGTTTACTATGGCCAGGCCAAAGCAGTGTGTGTCTGTGTGGGTGAAAGGACTTCATGTCATCTGCTGTTTTGATTAAAGAATACTGTACAAAGTTGTACACTGGTAAAACTAAAGCGTAGTATTAAGGGAGGGTGGGGCACCATGACCACTGGGGCACCATGACCACCCCTCTCGCTCTCGGGAACTACTTTGCCGACGGCAACCGGTCGACTGGACTTTCGAGAGAATAGAATTCTAACTAATTTCAGCCAGAGCCCTACCTCCTAGCTTCAAGGGTACGACCATAGCACCTCGCCAAAATTTTTGTTACAGCGTTTTGGCTCAATTGGGCGGTTTTCAAATCTGAGATATTTTTTCTCACTCTCACATTTGAGGAGATAAGTTCGATGTCTTAGGTTTTTCTGAAAATGTCGGCTCTCCGGCAAAATATCCAACATCACATTTAATTCTAAGTAGCTTTATGCTTGCTCGGGGAGCCTTTGAGTCGGAAACTGCATCGTGGGGAGCCATGACCACTTTTTGGTGGGGCACCATGACCATACATATTTGAGTGTTTTTTCTCATATTTTGGCCTGATAATGATTTATTTTCGTCGAAAATTTGCTGTTTGCTTCTGAAATTGTATAAAGGTTGAATAATTGCTGCAGAATAGATAGTTTTATCACAAATCGTGAATCACCAGGATGATTAAGAATGGTTCTGAAACTGAGACTTGAAATGGTAGTTTCTCTTGCACTAAATGAGCTCCAAACCGCAAAAGTTGGCCGCGAAGGCGATCCATGGCTACTTTGCACAAAGATGGCTCTGGCATTATGAGAAACAGAATTTAATTCACTTGTTTGCAGTGTAGTAACCGCGATAATTTTCTTAAAGTTTACCAAATTGAAATCTGCATACGAATTTCGATTCGTCTTAGCAAGACTAACATAAAATTTTAACACATGTCATAGCTTTGGATGTGAAATTTGAAAGCCTTAGAGCGTTAACTGTTTTAAACCGTCCATTTTAAGGCATCTTAAAACGTTTGATACTTCGAAGGTATTTACAGTGTTTTTTTAGTTAAGTTGACTGGCCTGATGGTAAGGACAGCGACATAAACAATTTCAATGAGAATACCGGTAGAAAGTACACTTTTTTGGGCCATAAAATTACCATGGTCATGGTGCCCAACGGGGTGGTCATGGTACCCCATAGGTGGGGCGCCATGACCACTTTGCGTTTTATTTTCCAAAAAGTTCTGTAAGCCTGCCGTGCATTGCAGACAAGTTCCAATGGGTGGAAGAGGTCCTTGGAGGTCCAATGAATCCCCTCATGCTGGAAACTTAACTTTTCGAACCACACGGTGAAGTAGAGGGAGGCACAAAAAAAAGTGGTCATGGTTCCCCACCCTCCCTTACCTACTGTTTTCAAGCGTAATCAGTTTACGCTTGAAATCAAGCGTAACAGGCTCATCTGCCAAGATTTCCCCCATCTAAAAGCATGGGGGAATTTCTAGCGTGTGCTTGATTTCAAGCGTAACGTCTTCAAGCGTAACTTTATGCTTGTCTCAAGCATGGAGTTACGCTTTAGTTTTACCAGTGTATTTTTCTTTTTCTTACGTCCGGAGGGAAGGGGTGCAAGCGAGGGGCGAATCACTCAGCGCTCTGGTGTACACATGAGTACGGGTGAGTACACCTTACAAAACTCGTAAATATCAAATTTTTATACGTGTAAAGGCTTTAATTGGTCTTTTAGACAATACGCAACACTAAATCTTACTTTAAACTAGCGAATTTTGATGAATTTGAGATTGTGAGTACACTGTCATCAGTACGCCTGTGATTCACCCCTCGGGTGCAAGTCGGTCAAAGGAAGGCGCAAGAAAGGGTACCCCCCTCACTGTGAAAATTTGTTGTCACTTTAAACACGTGGTTGATATTTTCATCACTTTGAAATGATGACAATCTCATCACAAATTGATGACGTTTTCATTAAAGCTCCCATAACAAACTGTCTGGGATTTTTCTTAAGTTTCAGTATAAAGTTAGAAAAATTAAAAACTGTTATTTCGGCCATTATTTGAGTGGAAAACTAAAATACCTCGGGCAGTTATGTCGGAATCCAATTCTGACTCTGGTGTCAATCAATGTTAATTTCCCTTCCCTACACCAAACCGAACAGTAGTTTTCCTTCTATAAACCGCTGCTTTGGCTTAAATGTGTTCAAACGTAAATATTTCTTTTTCTAAAGTTTTAAGTTTTATGGTCATATTGAAATCCAGCTTTGGTTCCACACTGCGAACCTAACTGTCTACTTAGCACGCACGTACAAATGCATGCTCTCAAGTACACACTTACAAACGCATGCTTGGCAATTACACACTTACAACAGCATGCTCGGCGCCATATAACTACATGCTACGCATATGCATTTGTAAGTGTGTACTTGACCAAGCATGCGTTTGTAAGTATGTATTTGCAGGCATGCATTTGTAAGTGCGTGCTAAGTAGACAGTTAGGTTAGTGCAGCTTAAATTTAAGACCATATTCGTTATCTACTATCCGTTGAGCAAAACAGAAAATGAGTCGAATTCTTTCTAGCTACCAAAGAGCATAATGGCGATCTTACCGAATTGGCTCGAACTTCGGAAGTCTGCTACGGTGTCGTGATATCCGATAACAGAAACTGTTGCCCTACGACTCGTAGTTTAGTGGTACCAAGATAATGGGTTTTAATTCCGAAATCTGCGGGAAAATGTGATAAAAAAGAAACGTGCCTTAAAGTTCTTTAAGTATTGCTCAAAATGTGCAGACTTGTATTCCGTTGGGAAAAGCGTCAAAAGACATGTTACACTCACTCAGTCGGCTTTCAAGCATGGCATTAGACCATTTGATCGTCTGAAATAAACGATCAAATGGTCTAATGCCATGCTTAAAAGCCGGCTCAAGACCTGTTGAATACGCTAGAGATGAGATCTGTAGCTGCTTTTATAACGGAACAGCAGCGCTTTCGAAAATGCCACGAAAATGTTTCAAATAAAAACGCAAGTTGTACTATTTTCTTTTTAAATATAAAAAAAATGTTTTTTTTTTGCTGAACTTTTCTGGTGGAAGTGGCGCAATCGTCCAATTTCGGCATGAAGATCCCAGTATCAACGCGGACGATCGGGGAGTCCCCGTGGGACTCGTGGGATCGCCTCTACTGTTCTTATCGCGAAACAGTAGACCTGATCGAGACATGGGCCTTGGCTTTATAAACGGGAGAAGGAAGGGCTCAGGGAACAGTCGTGTGAAGAGCTTCGACAGCAGCACTGCTTAACGTCACATTCAAGGTAAGACAGTCCAGAACCAGCGTTTTGCTGAGAAAGAAAGTGACATTGATGAAACATTCCACACCGGAAACACTGTTATGTCAGCGGTAAGTTTGCTTGCCACAAAAGTTTCAGGCCGTATTTTTCATACCGAAAAAATTAGCCTAGCCCGGAAGTACTCCACAGCTTGCCAAAAATTGTGGCAAGGTTCCGATACAAAACGGCTTGGCAAATTGTTGGCAAACAAACTTACCGCTAGCTTTGCAGCGCAGTGGGTCAGAATGGGACAAAACTCAAGCATGGACTAAAGACAAAAATATTGCCAGTCCGGGGGAGCTGTATTTACTCTTTGGAAGTTAGTATTTACGAACTCTACAAATGGAAGAGCGTGCATTGAATGCCCTAACTGGAGCATACCTGCAAGCACGCTCTTGCTAGCGCATGCCTACCAAGCATGGACTTTCTAGTGCACGCTTCCTGATGCAGGCAACTCCCTATCCCTCATGCACAAGATGCATGCTACAGTAAGCGTGTATGGCATGTATGCACTTGTAAGTGCATGCTTGGCAGGCATGCTCCAGTTAGAGCATACAATGTACGCTCTTCGATTTTTAGAGAAGTAGGGAGTTCGCTGGCAACCACTAAATGCATCTTTTTCGCACTTCGTCGTAACGGAGAGAGGTTTTCGTTAATTTGCTTATTCTCAAGTTTCTATTTTATTCAGTGACGCACATTTTGTGGCGGAAACGCGTTTCGATGAAAGGAACGGTTGAGGGCGTTCCGTTGCGTACACTCTAAATGTTGTCCAGTGAAGATTCTCCATATTATGGTGAAAATGTTCCATATTATGGTGGTGCCGCTGCCTCTATAACATACCATTCGGAATTGACTGTAATTTACAGATGTTTAGATGAATTTCGTTGGTATTATAGAGAAAGTCTCCACCATAATATGTTGGTGCAGCCTTTCACCGTAAAACATTTACAGTGTAAGTTTAATGTTTTCATAAATAACGTAAAATTTCCGCGATTATTTTTTAAAAAAGGTCACGAACCCTTTTACTACGTGTATTTCTTTTATAATCAAAGAATAATTTGACTGTAAGAGGTTTTCATAATCGATCAGGAAATTTAAGAAGGAAGAAGCGGGCCGCCTGAGGCAATGGGGGCCTCCTTCGTCAGACCGCCAAAAAGAACTTTTCGAGGGTGCGATCGGCAGGTCTCTGACCCTAGTATTGAAATAAATGACCAAAGTGCATCCAGGGTCAGTTGGGGGCAATAATGGGACACCGAAAACTTAGGCGAAACTAGGACACTTTCTTATCTTGATAAGTTTTAGCAGTTTAAAACGTCTCAAAATGACATGTTTATGCTCAAAATGATCATCTAGGTGTCTAGAATCCTTTCTCATCGGCGCGGCCATAACTGCTCAAAGAAATGCGAATTTAGAAATCAAGTGGATGTTAAGCCCCTGTTCCATTTTTGCCCCAGTGTCCCATTCTTACCCCAAACTTACAACTACGAATTTTCATAGTTTATTTAACACAACTGCAAAACTAAGTAAGTTTTGGATATTATTTTAACGTCTTCTGGAACAGGGTACCGTATCATATAAATGCGTTACAAACAATCCTACGCGCCATTGAAGACTAGTAGAAACCATCACTGAGAATGAATGGGTCACCACCATCACTATCACCCTTTAAATGGGTGATGCAACTTCGTTGCCCAATTTTGGGTAACGAAAAATTGATCACCCGAAATTTGGTAACAGGCGTTAGGTCGCCCAAATTTGGGTAACGTTGTCGGCGAAGCCCTGAGGTCCCCGATGACGTCCTTTCGGGGCCACCACGATGACCGGAGGCCTCAAAGCCTCATGGCGGTCATCGTGGTGGCCCCGGAAGAACGTCATCGGGGACCTCACGGCGTCGCCGACGACGTTACCCAAATTTGGGCGACGGTTTTACGACTGTCCAAATTTTGGCCACCCCTGGATCATCACTCAAATTTGAGCGACGATGCGTGCTTCACCCAATGAAAGGGCGATGGTGGTGACTCTTTCATTCTCAGTGATATTACCGAAATTGCCCCATTATTATCCCAATACTGACCCTACGGCGCTTCTTCTCACGCTTACAGCCCGTTGAAAGTGAGAAGAACGCTGGCTTCACCCGTCCGCCCATTTGAGCCGAAATGAGGCTTTTGAACTTTTATTCTCAACGCGATCTTTGCTTCCAGATGGCTCGTCTGTACCTGTTAGTTGGGATCTGCGTGGTCTTCGCTTTAGCCTTGGGTAAGTTATGCGGTACGATCCAAAATGATCCAGGAAGCAGAAGAAGGGGATAAGTCCAGTTGAATCCGTGCACTTTGGCAAGGGCTAAACCTTGCAGGTGGGAGTACAGGTGTGGAATGTCATCTAAAAATAGATGCAAGAGGATGGGACTGTCTCACTACACTTATTTTGGGACCAAATTTTCGCTCATGTTTACTTGATAGACTGATAAGAGGTCACTGAATCAACTCGACTTAACCCCTTCTTTCGCTTCCTGGATCAAATATCTCGTTGAACAACAGCGTACGACGAGCCGGAAGAGATTTAAGCTGTCTGCTCACTTCCGATGTTTCTTATTTTCCTAGGGTCCGAGGCATGCCAGACGCACGACCAACCGTGTGAAGGAGCCGGACTCGGCAACTGCTGTGACGGCCAGTCCCTTGTTTGTTACAAGGCATGTCCACACTATAAGGAGGGCCGCTGCTATCATCAAGGGAAGTCGATGCCTGCGTGCGCTGGAGGAAGCTCCTCACCCGGCACATCACTCTCAACAGGCACATCACCCCCTGAAGAGAACAACGGCAGTGAAGGGTGGTGAATTAGATGCCTGTCACGCTGCCACCCTTTAAGTACTGAACTCACGCTGTTTGGTACCACCAACGAAAAAGCAATAGATAAACACTTGGTTAAAGAGAGGCTTTGATGAAAGCCGTTCCTTGACTTCACCCTCAAAAACTATTAATATCAGACACACCGGTATGCGGTACACTGGTAAAAGGCGTTCGTAAAGCGTACAAGAGCCTCCGCTCCTTTCCTCCTTTACCTGTATGTATGGTGGCATTGCCTTGAGGTGTAGTTGTACGTTTCAAGAAGGGCGTACAGCCTTGAAGCATAGTTGTATGCTTGAATGAAGCGTACAACTACGCTTTAGTTTTACCAGTGAATGTAGGCATCCAGGAAGGAAGAGACGCCAAAGTGTCATTACTTAAGAAACATGGGCCTGCCTAAACATTTCGCTGGCCTCTTAATCTTGTCTCCATTACCATCTCGTTACCCATTTTTGAGCATAAACTTTAATTGTCTGACACACCTGGTCGGGCGGAGACGCTTAGCATAAAGGGCCCGTTCCGGCAAACCCGTAAAAGAAGCCTCCGCACTCCCACCCTCCTTACCTGTTATGTATAAGTCGGCTTGCCTTGAGTAAAACTTTACGTTTAAGACCCGGTGTACGTCTTGAACTCCGTTGTATGCTCAAGAACAAAAAAATTTTTACGGCTTTAGTTTTCCCGGGTGAATGTAGGCTGCAAACGAAGAGAGAGATCAAATGTCATTATGAACGACGGGCCTGAAAACTAAACACGTTGGTTTTTGGCCTCTTAAATCTTGCTCCATTACCATCAACGGCAAAACGTGCATGTTTTGAGATGCGAAACTTGTTCAGTTTCTGAAAATAAATGTGCTCTGGCAGGAGACGCTTAGCATCGAGGAAAGGGCTTAAACCTAGGGGCAATTAGGCTAATTGCTCCTCCACACCCCTCACCTTACCTGATATTAAGGCAATTCCCTATAAAAAGAAATCATGAATTTAAAAAACCTCGCCATTTTTAACTTGACCCTGTGTTGTTAAATTGGAAGTCCCGCTGCAGCTCCTAGGAACACCACAAATTTTGTGCTCTTTAGATCTGTGCAAAGCGAATTTGAAAATCAAGAGTTAAAATCTTTAAATCAAAGGGCCAAAAAAAACCAAGCACTTTAAACTGGATCTTCACGAAAGTTTCCCTAGTGAAATTTCCCGCCCCCCTGGGGATCGGATTCCTTGTCGCACCAGAAACTGCGAAATAATTAATGCCGCAACTTGTCAAACTTCAATTATTGGCTGAGCGATAGCGAAGTGCATTGATTCACAGACTCTTAAGACCATGATACAGCCCCGGTATGAGGTGTTGTTGCAGTCTGTGGAGTTTTTGGTTCGGTTTGAATGGTGCTTTTCCGACTTCCTCCAGCTGCTTTCCCAGCTCATCTACTGACGGGCGGGTGATTCCGTGCGTAGGGGCCGTTTTAGCCACCTTAGGAAGTCACGAAATCAATCT